CAAAACAAACAAAAAAATGAAAAGAAAAAGAAAGCACAACAAATAAAAATCCACCAGATATATCTGTGTCAATTTTACATCAAAACCAAATGAAACATGACACATTAGGTTTGCTTGAGATTTTGAATATTTTGATAATTTCATTACATATAATTTCTCATGAAAAGATTGTTTTAAATTTCATTATTTAACAGTGAGCTAAAGAAATGATATTTCAAACATACAGATGGTTAACTAAAGGTTGTTTTTGATTAGAGTGCTAAAGGTCAGGTAAAAAAACAGATACAGATGAATTTTATATTGAAGATATTGTATAATATAATGCTTTGTTCTGTTATAAAGAGAAGATGTCAGATCCATTAGCATAATGCTCTAGATCTCAGCATTGTATGTAACTAAGATTAAAAAAAATACCTTAAAACTGCTACACATGCAGCTTTTATTGTGCTGGTAATATATGAGATCTTCCCATCTGATATAAAGTACTAGTATCTGATATTAATCCTACATGTTCAGAACATTTACATATTGTCCCAGAAAGTTATCTGTAGGGACATAGTAGCATTACTTGTATCTTGTAAGAGAAAAAAATCAGTGGTATAATTGCAGTCTTTAAATGGCATGATGCAGAGCAAACAATAATTGACAGCACTGTTACTATTACCTGGTATCAATTTTGCATGCAGGCAGCAATTTGTAAACCGTGTCTCATAGCAATATCACAATAGTTCTTTTTGTCTTTTGTATATGGAGCAATTTTTTTATCATTTTCTCTCAGATTTAGAAGTTTTCTCTCGTAGATGTCTAATAACATGACATATTTGGTTGACCTTGAGGCTAACACCTCTATGATTAAACCTTGAGCCAGATGTGTCAATTTGTAAACTAATGGTGATCCAGACTATTCACTTTTTTGTTTTTGTGTTCAAATAAGCACCATGGGACATTTGTTCATGACAAACATTATTCTGTAACATCATTTCCTAACTGCAGTAAAACATGGATAAGACAAAGTCGACGGGACCAACTGAAATATTCTGTTTATCTGATGGTTAGACTTAGCTGTGTTTCTATGAACGAAGACATTTTGAATCAAAGATTGACCCTGTTTTCATGGGTTGTTCATGGGATACATGTCTGATAGCATAACATGACATGTACAGTAATGAATAAATAATGAAAAAAAATGTTGAAATATAATTTCATACACTAACGACATCCTTTATTTAAAGAAACAGTTATAAGTACAATTATAAAACAATAACACTTGTGTGGATACATAGCCACTTTCATACACATAACTTTGTGAAATCGATACCTAAAGTAATACAAATATTGTACTCACATTTATTTCCTTAAGTCCCATCAACAATATTTCAAAATAAATATGTACTCATGAACATTCTACATTGATATACCATGGACAGCACATAGCTGGGTTACAAAAAGGTGAAGGTCACAACAACGTCATTGAAGCATAACTTTATGCGTTTAGCACCTAAGAGCACATGTTGTAAAATAGAATTGTATAAAACTTGCACTTTGTTTATGTACATGTATTTCCAGCAAAATTTTTGAAATCATAAACTAATAATCAATGGACCAAATATTTTTATATTTGTCTGGTATATTCCTAGGATGAAGCCCAACAAAGTTATTGAAAAGAAATGACCTTGGCTTATATTCAAGGTTACAGGAGTCACATTTGTGAAAACATTTAAACCACTTCTTCACATAACTAAAAAAAGCCCAGAGGCATGATATTTGGCGGAAAAAAAAGTGACCTTGACTTATTTTCAAGGTCACAGGGGTCAGATTTGCTGATTTCACTCAGTCAGTCAGACCAAAGGCAGAAAATTATTATAGGAGGCAAGGTGACTCCTAAATGTTCAACTCAAAAAAGGAAATTTAGGTAGAATTTCGAAGAGATGGACCTCAATATGTATTTGACACAAAACACAGTATTCGACTTAACAGTGTTCAAATCTTCTGTGTTTGATTTATCAAGATAAAGAAAGAGAGAAATCAGAACTGAACAAAACATTTTACTCATCCGATGTATTTGATTCAGGAGTGTTAGACAGAAGTGAGTTTTACTCTATATCCTTGGGTTTTACAGTGATATTAAGTGTGCAGGTTAATCCATTATAGCACAGAGCAGATCTGCCATTATTATATTTGTGCAGCAAATCAATGCCTTGTACAAAAACGCATGATTTAATGTATAATCAGGAAACTTGAGGTTGAAAGTACTTGACTGAGTGAATTATGCAGATAGTTAAATGAAGACTGAGCAACTTTAATCAATAAAAGCACCAAATTTCTTTGAAAGTATTCAATTCACAACTAAGGGACTTGTATTCTTAAGTGAACGTCTGTCCATGGAAGCCTTTGTGAATTTACAAAGTCTACCCAAATTTGTGCATGTTTATTTTTAAAGGGTTTTGTGGCCTTGCAATACTCAAGGTCATATGGAAATGTGTGTCAAGAAAGACACTATGAGTGGTAAAGAAAGCATACAAAAAAAGACAGAGATATTCAAAAAAGGAAAATATCAAGATCTCAAGTATTGAAATTTGGCAGCAGGGCTATTTTGGTTTATTTAATGATACCCCATAGTGGACGACACAGTAGAAAACTCCTAATTCTGCAGGGGCCCACTTTCACATATAGGATTATGCAGTTGAGAACTGCATACAGACCCTATTCTTGGAATCTCTGATGAGTAAACAGAAAGTGTCAGAGAAACCACCAGAACTGGATGGGGGTGCCCCACAATCAGTTACTACCTCTTTCAATTGGCAGTGAAATACAGCAGGTATATTTGTTACTTGTCACTTAATGGGTCAAATTTGTCCTTGAAAACAACACTGAATTAAATATATGAGTGCATTAACAACTATACATCTTGTATACTTGAAAATCAATGAATGTGTCAATGAATCATGGAAAATACATGATATTAACAAAAAAAAGCGACTGGTATACTTGATAACCCAATGAGTCATTGAAAACATTAATAAATTCACAAATCAGCAGCTTTCTTAGAAAGCACCAGCAAATTTATAGCCAAGCAACTCATGTTCTTGAAAGCACCAATGCATTGACAACTAGGCAACTGATATCCTTGAAAACACCAGTGAATCCTTGAAGGCATTTATGAATTCACAATTAAACAGCATTCTATGAAAGCACAATTAAATTTTCAACAAGGTCTTTGATAGCACCAGTGAGTGTACAAGCACTATTCCTTGGCAACTCGAAATGTTCCCATTGTGATTAGTAATAACAGCTCCAGGCAACACTAAAGCTAAGCACTCAAATATACCTGTTAGGCATGTCTTTGTTTACTCCAGAAATTAATTTCTGGAAATTCCAACTTCCTTTTTACTCCCTTTTTTTATAATATTTTTTCATCTTTTTTTTCTGTTTTTCATTATCCTTTCAATGACAGTTGCAGGATAGTATTGATTTATTGTGAAACAAAACACCCGAAATATCATTTCAGTGATTAAGCTGGCTTGTTAACTGTCAGCGTGAGGCTTTATAAGCTTTTGGGGTCTGATGAATTGTTATCAAGTCCTAATAAGGCTTTCCAGTTGATTGATTTTGGCAGGCATTTCCTTATGTCAGAGGCTGAGATCAGGATGACAGATGTATAACATTTAATTCCCAGTAGTTGTAGTATGCAGTATGTACAGCCTTGAAATTTTAATGGCAGCTCCCTGCCTGATGCATAGACTGATAATATTTTTATAGACAGGAAAAGATCATTACAGTGTAGGATGCTTGCTGTTACTAGGGTATGATATTGACCTTGATTATTTCATATCCTGGATGAAAGAAATAAAGGGTGAAAAAAAAACCAAAAATAGAAGGAATGAATTAAAAAAAACCAGCATGTTATTGTACTGTTTGCCATTAAATGAGAATATCTTATTATAGGAAGACCTGTCAGTGTTCTGTCACTAATTTTTTTTTAATAACATTTATGGTGGCTCCTGAGTTACACTAATTAATGTGTCATTGTTAAGGACATTTTGTAGCCAACCTGATGATACATGCCTTATAAATGACATCTTTGGATGTGTTTTCATGTTGCTCAATGGTTATATAATATCTATACCCAGTTTATCATTTGTTCATATAGAGCTGTTGTGGTAGCTTACTATGAAGGAAGTTCTTGATTGGATATTTTGATGTCACAAAAAAGGGGATGAACTTCCGGTTGTTTTGAATATTTGATATATATACCTGTACTCAAAAGGATCATGCATTTAACCATTGAAAGGTCAAGAAATATTTTCTTTTTCAGATGACAAGAAATAAAAAAAAAACATATATAACACATCCAGAAACTTTTTTTCCCCATGGTGTTATATACAACTGTTCAAACTAAACACAACCTTTTTATTCAGGCTGAATGAAATAAAAATTTACTTTCGCTGACAATTTTTTGGATAAAAACTGGTAAGGGCTGCAAGCTTTAAAGAAATTATGTGGCAGGTACTTATTTAACCAATATCAGTAAACACCAGCTTGTGTTATACTGGTTACCCGCATCTTGTTGAAGATTGACTATTTAGTAGAATGACACTTTACAGCTCTATTAGATCACAAGGGTTTAATTGCTATATCAGCAGATGATATTCCTTGTCAGAGAAGTCTTCAAATTGTTTGTAATTTTGACTGACAACCGTGCTATTTTTACATCTGGTAAAACTTTATTGACAACAAAGGTATAATATTAGAAATGGACAAACCAATGTTAGGAAGATTTTGGAAACTTTGCAAAATAAAAAAGAAAATTCCACAACTTTTTATCTGTTTTGCTTTCTTTTTTTGTTTAAAGTTTTATTATTTGAGCAATATGATTTGGTAATGTAGACTTGAGCAAAATAAAAAAAATTGTATTTGGTCTTACAAAGGCTTTCTTTGTACTTTAAATACCTGAAATTTGCAATGCCTTATATTTATAACTATTTTTTATATTTCAACAGGAGAGCTGTATGACCAGGACGCAACTGACCTACAGCGAAAGATTATCAAATATGTAAGCATTCATTTGTACAGTGGTATATAAATCAATTTATTATAATGTATCAAGAATATATTAGGGTGTATGATTCTGTGATATCATCAATATTTAGTGTGAGTGATTCTCTGATTTCATTGGTTTAGATATCTCTAGTGTGTGTGATTCTTTGATTTCATTGGTTTAGATAAATATGGTGTGTGTTTGATTCTTTGATTTTATTGATTTAGATATTCAAGGTGTATATGAATATTCATCAGATTTCATTGGTTTAGATAAATATGGCATGTGTTTGATTCTCTGATTTCATTGGTTTAGATATTCAAGGTGTATATGAATATTCATCAGATTTCATTGGTTTAGATAAATATGGCATGTGTTTGATTCTCTGATTTCATTGGTTTAGATATTTAAGGTGTATATGAATATTCATCAGATTTCATTGGTTTAGATAAATATGGCGTTTGTTTGATTCTCTGATTTCATTGGTTTAGATATTTATGGTGTATATGAGTATTCATCAGATTTCATTGGTTTAGATAAATATGGCGTGTGTTTGATTCTCTGATTTCATTGGTTTAGATATTTATGGTATATGTGGGTATTCTTTGATTTTATTGGTTTAGAAATTCCGTTGGTTTAGAGTTTTAGCTCTCCTGGTCCAATTGCTACTGGTCATGTACAACTGAACAGATTTTGACCAAGTTTTCTTTGGTTAAAGGAAGTCAATCTTGGATAAAGTTAGGTCTCAGCACCCTGGGGCGAAAGGGTTGAAGCCAAATAGGGAAATAGAGAGAATTCTTTTAAATCCTATCTTTGGTGAAGGGGAATCAGTTCAGTATAAATGGTGGATCCAGGCCGTTTGGGGCGGGAGAAGTGAGGCTCAATCATAGAAATGTATTTTTAAAAAATCCTTCTTCTGTACAAGAATATTGTCAAAGTTTGGTCTGAAGTAATTTTTATGAATAGTGAATCTGACTTGTTTGATAAAAGGACGGAACCTTATAAGGAAATGAATTCTGATATTGTTTGTAATATTTGAAATTCTTTGTAAAATGACTGATAGGCTGAATTACCAAGGTGAGCAATGCAAACTCAATTGGCCTCTTGTTATGGTTTATATGAATATTCTTTGATTTCATTAATTTAGATAGTTATGGTGTGTGTGTGATTTTCTGATTGTTGGTTTAGATAGTTATGGTGTGTGTGTGATTTTCTGATTGTGTTGGTTTAGATAGTTATGGTGTGTGTGTGATTTTCTGATTGTGTTGGTTTAGATAGTTATGGTGTGTGTGTGATTTTCTGATTGTTGGTTTAGATAGTTATGGTGTGTGTGTGATTTTCTGATTGTGTTGGTTTAGATAGTTATGGTGTGTGTGTGATTTTCTGATTGTGTTGGTTTAGATAGTTAAGGTGTGTGTGTGATTTTCTGATTGTGTTGGTTTAGATAGTTATGGTGTGTGTGTGATTTTCTGATTGTTGGTTTAGATAGTTATGGTGTGTGTGTGATTTTCTGATTGTGTTGGTTTAGATAGTTATGGTGTGTGTGTGATTTTCTGATTGTGTTGGTTTAGATAGTTATGGTGTGTGTGTGTGTGTGTAGATAGTTATGGTGTGTGTGTGATTTTCTGATTGTGTTGGTTTAGATAGTTATGGTGTGTGTGTGATTTTCTGATTGTGTTGGTTTAGATAGTTATGGTGTGTGTGTGATTTTCTGATTGTTGGTTTAGATAGTTATGGTGTGTGTGTGATTTTCTGATTGTGTTGGTTTAGATAGTTATGGTGTGTGTGTGATTTTCTGATTGTGTTGGTTTAGATAGTTATGGTGTGTGTGTGATTTTCTGATTGTGTTGGTTTAGATAGTTATGGTGTGTGTGTGATTTTCTGATTGTTGGTTTAGATAGTTATGGTGTGTGTGTGATTTTCTGATTGTTGGTTTAGATAGTTAAGGTGTGTGTGTGATTTTCTGATTGTGTTGGTTTAGATAGTTATGGTGTGTGTGTGATTTTCTGATTGTTGGTTTAGATAGTTATGGTGTGTGTGTGATTTTCTGATTGTGTTGGTTTAGATAGTTATGGTGTGTGTGTGATTTTCTGATTGTGTTGGTTTAGATAGTTATGGTGTGTGTGTGATTTTCTGATTGTATTGGTTTAGATAGTTATGGTGTGTGTGTGATTTTCTGATTGTTGGTTTAGATAGTTATGGTGTGTGTGTGATTTTCTGATTGTGTTGGTTTAGATAGTTATGGTGTGTGTGTGATTTTCTGATTGTTGGTTTAGATAGTTATGGTGTGTGTGTGATTTTCTGATTGTATTGGTTTAGATAGTTATGGTGTGTGTGTGATTTTCTGATTGTTGGTTTAGATAGTTAAGGTGTGTGTGTGATTTTCTGATTGTGTTGGTTTAGATAGTTATGGTGTGTGTGTGATTTTCTGATTGTGTTGGTTTAGATAGTTAAGGTGTGTGTGTGATTTTCTGATTGTGTTGGTTTAGATAGTTATGGTGTGTGTGTGATTTTCTGATTGTGTTGGTTTAGATAGTTATGGTGTGTGTGTGATTTTCTGATTGTATTGGTTTAGATAGTTATGGTGTGTATGAATATTCTTTGATTTCATTGGTTTAGATAGTTATGGTGTTTATTAATACCCAGTGACTTGATTGGTTTGGAGATTATGACAACATTAGGATTTTTTGTATTTCTTTGGTTAGAGATTAAAATGGTTTGATTTAGTTTAGAGGCTTTGACATACATGGTTTCTTTGATTTAATTGAGTAAGAGGTTATATAAATGTTGCATGACAATTATGAAATTTTATATCACTGGTTTAGAAGTTATGACATGTATGGTACTTAGATTCCATTGGTTTGATGGTTTCAGATTTGGAGAAAGTATTACTGAGTGCAATATATTGATTTCATCTGAGGTTACCAAGTATATGTCACAATTAATGTTTTAGTTCTTTAGAAACGGGGGTTACAAAGTGTGTTATTTCTCAAACGCTTCGATCATGGGTATTTAAAAGTGGAAGACTTGTAATTGAATTGTTGTATAGAATCCATGGAAACAGGAAAGGTAATGAAGTCAACTTGTTTGTGTACTGATCTTCAATACTTGCATGCAATTAGCGAAAGATGGATTCAACCTTTCTGTTGATGTAGTGGCTGTATCGCTTACTCATTCCCTTCGATACAGGTTTCTAACATAACACAACTCAACCACGATTGTAACCAAGGTTGATCAATCCATTGATAACACTCCTTGTCAAAAATATGAAGCTTTACTAATGAAATTGGCCAGGGAAATGAGAGATTTAAAAAAACAATAAATGCCTGCAAGATATCAAGTAATTGGTTGTTAGAAATTTGATATTTTTTCTAACTATCAGAATTCTATTTAACAAGAATTGAGACTCTGGTCAATTAGCCATTAAATTTGTTTTTATAACTGTTTTTCAAAACTTATTTTTAAAAACATGATAGGTGCATATAAAGAGAGAGAGAGAGAGAGAGAGAGAAAGAAAACCTTTTGAAAATTATTTTTTTCCCTTTTTTTTCCATAATAAGATGATGAATTGTATAAAAATATTGTTCTTTCTCTCCTTGTAAACAATTTAAGCCACTGTGTGTTGAAATTATATAATTTCTGACTGTATTGCACAGAGGAATTTAACAAATTACTGACGTGATATTGAAATTGGGATATTCCTACTCACCACTTCAAAATAAAACTGAGATTACCGGTACTGCCTTTTTCTCATCCAATTCTACCTCCTTGTCTGAATTAGATTTGAAGTCAATTTACCAAAGGAAGTCCAAACTAAATTGTGACAAAAATCGAAACAGTTCCATTATGTTAGGACATTGATGACGGTGAAAGAGCAATTAAGAAAGCCTCCAACAACCATGAAATTTGAATTGAAATTTGGTTTTGATATTGATTTTACTGTAACAAATATATATGTTATAAAGTCAGATGAAACTTCTTTATTTGGTGATGTTGTCAAAGGTGAAGCCATAAAAAGAATTTGTTAAATCTTCAGAGATTGGCTCACAGCAAACTTACGACATTTCATCAGTACAGGGTGACAATGTGCCTTAACTTTACTGGTGAAATGAAAGATTCACAAGCTTCTCTGTCAGTGAATCTGCCAAGGCTGAGCTTGCACTTATAGGAACTTCAGAATTACTTTCTTGTTATTAAATGATAAAAATTCTGATTAGCTGAAGCATTTTCTGCTTATGTTGTTCCCTTCCCTCCCTCCCCTCCTCCCCCTCCTTTAGTTATTACAAGATGATCCCTTTGATCTCAAGCCAGCAGAAACATTTCTTGTTCATTAATATAAGATAATATCATGCAAGCTTAACACTGTGAAAAGGCCAAATAATAACTCCTTCATAACTGGTTGACTTGTGTTTTAAAATTGAAAAATAACATTATTATGTTTCATTTAAATGGAGAAATATTTCTTAACTCAAAGGGGAATTATGCATTGTGTTGTTTTTATTTTTCAGTTAGAAGAATACACCAATGCAGAGTTTGGTTTTATGTTGTTAGTGGTTCCAGAAACACAGGAACTGTATTGTCAGGTGAGATATTATAATACTAAATAATAATGCCTATTACTGATATAAGATTTCAAATGTGATAAAGTACAAAATTCAAATGTGAAAAAGCAGGAACAGATACTACAATATACAGAGTGTATATTGAGAACAACAGTATAAGGATCAGATTATCAGGAAGATTACTAAGGATTGACCTTCAGTAAGATTTTTAAGAATATAATTTTTAGAAGTAAAAGTTTATTGGATTTTGATGTTTTGGGTGCTGGTTGTTCTATATAAATGAATATTGATTCAGTGAAAAGAATGCTGATCTCTTTACTCCATTCAAGGTCAAAAGAACTAAGGCTTCAAAGGTCATGGTATTTTAACCTTTGGCATTCTAGGGTAAAATCATTACAGGTTTCATCAAATGACTGATCCACTCTCAAGGTCACACGGAGCAAATGTGTTGAAAGTGGATTTTTTTAATCAACAACTTTTCCTCACTATTTGTGTGATTAGTTCTATGTTTGTTGAAAACAAATAGAGTTGTTATTAGTATTCCTTTTCCACTGTAAATTTAACCTTTACCCTTTTTTACAGAAATAAACATTTTTATGGTATCATGGATTGCCTGATTAACTTTAACATTTGGCCTCCCTTTTCGTATGGCCGTGTGTTTCTGTGCAGATCTTATGTGACTTGGCATTCTTTTTCTCATACATTGTGGGATGGTGCTGTATTACTTCAAAATTGGTACTTGTATATTCATGCCTAGAAGAATGTGATGGGATGAAAAGTGTTATTGGTGTCTATATGACATGATGATAGATGTGTCTAGACAGATATACGTATGCCCATTGTCACATACAGGCAAAACCAATCTGTATATCTACAGACACTAACAGAACATTCTGATGGGATTCCAGTATCACTTAAGGCTAAACTGCTGCCGATTGAAATGTAATTTATTCATGTGCCATATGCGCAAGGGATACATTTGTTCAAAGTTTTAAAATGTACTGAATCTGAATGTATAATGTTTGGATCAAACAAAAGATGATTTTCATGTCAGCATCAGAATATGTACTGTAGAAATGTTATGTTATTCACCAGTGGATTAAATATATATAAATGCCTGTTGAAATTCTGTAATTTGATAACACATTCTGATAACAAGCATTGAAGAATGGTATTGATATAGGAAATGTACAAGAATGATCATTTATTTTTACTTCTTTTTCCTTAGGTGATTGGGGACAAGGTTCTGGAGTCAGAAATTCGGTTTCCCGTAAGTAAATCAATTAAGCAAGATAGTTATCTAAGGTATAGACTATTTATATTTAACTGAACCATCAGACAAAACATATGACATTTTACCTAGATGGTCAGACATCACCAGGATAGATTACCAGAGACAAAATGCTTATTGAGTTAAAGTAGACATTTTGGCAGTCAGACATCACCAGGTGAGGTTAGGGAACAGCCTAGTTAATGACCTGAAAAAGAAGTTTATCTAGACAGTCAGACATCTCCAGGAGAGGATAGGGGACAGACTAGTTAATGACCTTAAAAAGAATTTTATCTAGACACTCAGACATCACCAGGTGAGGATAGGGGACAGACTAGTTAATGACCTGAAGAAGTTTATCGAGACAGTCACACATCACCAGGTGAGGTTAGGGACAGACTAGTTAATGACTTAAAGTAGAAATTTGTCTTGGCAGTCACACATCACCAGGAGAAGTAGGGGACAGACTAGTTAATGACCTGAAGAAGTTTATCGAGACAGTCACACATCACCAGGTGAGGTTAGGGACAGACTAGTTATGACCTGAAAACGAAGTTTATCTAGACAGTCACACATCACCAGGTGAGGTTAGGGACAGACTAGTTATGACCTGTAGAAGAAGTTTATCTATACAGTCAGATATTACCAGGAGAGGTAGGGGACAGAATAGTAAGTGACCTAATTAGATATTTATCTAGACAGTCAGATATTACCAGGAGAGGTAGGGGACAGAATAGTAAGTGACCTAATTAGATATTTATCTAGACAGTCAGATATTACCAGGCAAGTAGGGGACAGAATAGTAAGTTACCTTAAGTAGATATTTATCTAGACAGTCAGATATTACCAGGAGAGTAGGGAACAGAATAGTAAGTGACCTAATTAGATATTTATCTAGACAGTCAGATATTTCCAGGCAAGTAGGGGACAGAATAGTAAGTTACCTTAAGTAGATTTTTATCTAGACAGTCAGATATTACCAGGAGAGGTAGGGGACAGAATAGTAAGTGACCTTAAGTAGATATTTATCTAGACAGTCAGATATTACCAGGCGAGTAGGGGACAGAATAGTAAGTGACCTAATTAGATATTTATCTAGACAGTCAGATATCACCAGGAGAGGTAGAGAACAGAATAGTAAGTGACCTAATTAGATATTTATCTAGACAGTCAGATATCACCAGGAGAGGTAGAGAACAGAATAGTAAGTGACCTAATTAGATATTTATCTAGACAGTCAGATATTTCCAGGCAAGTAGGGGACAGAATAAAAAGTTACCTTAAGTAGATTTTTATCTAGACAGTCAGATATTACCAGGAGAGGTAGGGGACAGAATAGTAAGTGACCTTAAGTAGATATTTATCTAGACAGTCAGATATTACCAGGCGAGTAGGGGACAGAATAGTAAGTGACCTAATTAGATATTTATCTAGACAGTCAGATATTACCAGGAGAGGTAGGGGACAGAATAGTAAGTGACCTTAAGTAGATATTTATCTAGACAGTCAGATATTTCCAGGCTAGTAGGGAACAGAATAGTAAGTTACCTTAAGTAGATATTTATCTAGACAGTCAGATATTACCAGGAGAGGTAGGGGACAGGATAGTAAGTGACCTTAAGTAGATATTTATCTAGACAGTCAGATATTACCAGGCGAGTAGGGGACAGAATAGTAAGTGACCTAATTAGATATTTATCTAGACAGTCAGATATCACCAGGAGAGGTAGAGAACAGAATAGTAAGTGACCTAATTAGATATTTATCTAGACAGTCAGATATCACCAGGATCGGTAGGGGACAGAATAGTTAGTGACCTAATTAGATATTTATCTAGACAGTCAAATATCACCAGGAGAGGTAGGGGACAGAATAGTAAGTGACCTAAAGTAGACATTTATCTAAAAAGTCAGATATTACCAGGAGAGGTAGGGTACAGAATAGTAAGTGACCATATTAGATATTTATCTAGACAGTCAGATATTACCAGGAGAGTAGGGGACAGAATAGTAAGTGACCTTAAGTAGATATTTATCTAGACAGTCAGATATTACCAGGAGAGTAGGGGACAGACTGGTTATTGATCTGAAGTTATATGATTTTAGCTAAATTGTTTTGAAAACATAGATATGAATTGTGTCCTCTTGCCCTGATTTAGATGCTAGCATACTGTGTTAGTTCCATCATACACAGCATGGTAGGCTAGCATCATATTAAGGGAGTCTCTAAAAGCTAGCCCTACATAATCAATAGAACAACAAGGAGATAGGTGTGAATTATCGTTGTGCTGGTGATCTCAAGAATTACAAGTCAGGCAAAAGATGTCAGCATCAGCTGCAAGGATTATCACATCATCAGATGCGACAAATAAGGGGAATGCATTTGCTTGTCTGGAGAAATGTCTTGGGTTCACCAGCAGACACGTTAGTTAATCGATTTGTTTTATTGAGGTAGAGTTGTGATAATACACCAAATGTTACCCGTGTCTGACCGCGCGATGTTGCTGGAGATTGTAACGCCTAATTCCCCCTCATTAGGATATGTGAGGATCACTCATTGCTCTGCTCATTGGATTACATTTGTAAATCAGGATACAATAAAATAGGAGATATAGACATACTAAGCTAAGAATTTGTTGTAGTTTGGCGGCATCTCTTGTTTGGTTATGGCCACTGATTGAATTAGACCGTTAACTACATTGAGAAGCATCCTTTTACATCATAATGGTTGAGGAGATCACAAAGAAAACAGTGCAATTAATATTTTCCTTTATCTGGAGTTTGACACTATTTATTGTAATGAAGTAGGTGAAATAGCGATCAATATTATTAAAATGACCACAGTAATTATAATATACAAAAGCATTTTGGTGAGCTATGGTTTGATTTTATTTTGTATCTACAAGAAATAAATATTTTGAAAATTATGATGGCTAATTTAGCTATTGAGTAAAAGGAAGAAAATTCCTTCCTGTATATTCATCAAAAAGCCATGTATGGTCTCGCTGATATTTGCTTTAATGATATTCAATGCAGTCACTGTTTTCTGACAAAATGGTAAGTTTATGCAAAGTATGAATGACTTTGTTTGTCCTTGAAGGGTTTTCTATTCTGACTTGACTTTTTGTGATTTTGATTAGCTCGTCTGGCTTGAAGGACCAAGTGAACTTATATTATGGCATGGCATGACATCCGTCATGCGTCCGTCAACTTTTTCTACAAATAGCTACTCATAAACATTTGCTCAGAATCATCCTTGGAAGAGAAGGGAATCCAATTTTATGTAAATGATGGGTCTCTGCCTCCCCTACCCATCCTCAGGGACCGAAAGTACAGGGCCCAAAAGAGGAAATTTATAAAATCTTTTAAATGCTTTCATTTGTAAGAATGATTGGATTTTGTTAAAATTATGGCTGAAGTATCTTTCGGTAGTTGGTACTCAATTCAACTGAAAAGAGAATCTGAACTTTCAATGAGGTCTGGAAGGTGAGACCCATTATGGTGAATACAGAAATTGCTTTAAAATCTTTCTCCTTCTGCTTGGATCATTGTATTTTGACTAGATTTTCTTAGAAGAATCTTGGGTGGAGAGAAATCAATTTGTATCATTTGTGTGTGATATCTTCCTTAAGGCTGGATGAGCAGGGACCAGTAGAGGATATATAGCTAAAGTTTTAGAATCCTGCTTCTGTAGTTATGGCAGGATTTGATCCAAACTTGGTCTGAAGCATCATTAGTGAAAGACTCTCGATTGTGTATAAATTGTAGGTCTGAACCATTTTGGGACAGAGGGATGGGCCAGTAGATGAAATAGAGGAATAAGTTTAAAATCCTTCTTCTGTTTGATAAAATTATGTTGATTAAGGTCAGAAGCATCCTTCAACAGGAGAAAGGGAATTAATTTTGTATAATAAATTTTAGGTCTTTGCCCCAGGGTCAAAGGGACAGGGCTCGAAGGAGAATGTTATCCAAGTCTTAAAATTCTACCTTTGTGTGTAGCAATGATGAAATCTTATTCTAACTTAGCCTGAACAATTTATGTGAATGGTAAATCTGACCCTTTCTGATGTGAGATATTTTGAAATAATTCTGTTTCTGCTTGGATGAAGGCTTGGTTTGAAACTTTAAAATTCCCCACCTTTTGGGGAAAACAAATGATTTGATGAGAAAGCTGAAATATCCAGGTGGGCGATAGAGTCCCCATGAGCCTCTTGTTATAAATCTGTGTGTGGCACCTTTAAAGATTTATGCATGCAAACAACAAATTTCTCTTCTTTTTTAAGGATAAAAGCTAGAATCAAGAAATACTTCCTTTTTCAATTCATTTGTTTTTGCTTGGAATAAGTTATTTTGGATGCATTTTCAAGATGAACTTTTATTTGTGTTTTGCTTTTTTGATGCACTGTTTCAAAAAATACATTTCCATTTTCAGAGGGTTTTAAATATTCTCGTCAATAATGTTTTTTTTCCTTCTTACCTTTCATATGATTTTACTGTTGTCTGTTTATCTGGGGTTATATATCACAGGAGTGTTTATAGAACAAGAGGATCTAGCTTGATGTTATCTCCTTTTGTGTCAAATATTTTCAACAAACATTTCAAATACTCTGTTTAATCTCAAAAAAGTGAATAGGTATTGAAAAAGTTTTAGAAGTAAATATGGTCTTCTCAACCCATGAAATTCATGTAAGGTGTGCAAGAGATAAGATCAGCTGACAATTTTGAGACCCAGATACATACATATTCTAGATCGAGTTTAAGTTGCCTATGATAAAGATTCTGAGTTTCCCAACCCGTCTGTGTCACCTTTAAGTCCAATGCAGATGATATTTCAGTGTCATATTGCTTAAGCTATCTGTTTCCTTGCTATATAAACACACATACACACAAACACACACACACACACACTCAATAGTCATAAATAAACAAATTGATTCATGTTGCTGTGATTGGTTCCTCCCCAGGGACTTAGTCCAAGCATTGGAGTTGGCCTAGATCCTAACTCTAGAAATACTGCAATATATTTTTTCATCAAAGATGAATATAACCATGTAATGATATCAGGGTGCAGTCCTGTCCCTGGAGGAACCTGATGGTTGCTACCAGTCAAAGTTTTAATACATGTAGCCTCTACTTCCTTATGTACAATTGTTCAAACCTACTACAGTAATACCTTTGTTTATATATTAGCTGCATATTTCATAGAAATAAAAATTTTGCTGCAAATATCATTTATACAGGTGATTTCAAAACATTTCTCTCAATGATTCTACAAAGAGTAAGGTCACTTTACAAACATTATAGAAGGTCACATTTAGATTTTGATATCTGAAATGTGTCTGAAAAGCAAACTTACAAGTGCCAATCATAAAACATTTCATTTTCTGTCTGAAAAAAAGATAGTAGTCAACTGAAGTACCTTGGTTGACTTCACTAAGTTAAACCTGTCCTATTAGACTTTGTTTCTGAGAGAAAATAAACAGCTCAGTTTCTGTCAATAAACAGTCATACAGTTGTTTATAAATATATATGACATTGCAGTTATTGAATACAGCACAAACATAACCCAAAATATTTAAATAGAAATTATAATTTTCCAACTGAAATCAGTTTTTTGGATTGGTATATGATATGTTGACTTTTTTTATTTGGAAAAAAGCTTAACTTCATTTTTTTGAGCTGTTAGTTTTATTATAATGAAGATTGCTGAATGTGATCTCTGTTGTGATTTTTCACTGCTAAATGAAGCCCATTAACTATATCTTCATTATATAAGGGCTGACAGTAAGTGTTATTAAATCTGAAAGTAAAATTTTATATATGATAAATACCTTTTGTCTGCTGAATGGATTTTATATTATCTCAAGGAGTAAATTAATTTGTTTTGAAACTTATTGATTGTTTTTTAGAGCCTCTTTTTCAATTTTTGTTATACATTGCTTAAAAATGTTGTGTCAATCAGTATACTTTGGTTCCTGATGTTTTAATCGTTTGATGGAAAAGTCAAGATCATTTAATAGCTTTTGATACATTAATGGAGGTAAATTAATCAATAGGTCCATTTCCTGATCTGACAGCAGTTTAGATCAATGTTTTTTAATGACAGGTAGTAAATGAAAGTGTATTGACACAAGGGGAAAAGTGTCTTTCTCTGTTTTCAGGCTTGCACTTTCAAGATAGTAATAATTGTCATGTATTTCAGGGTGAAACTAGTACGTTCTCAGCTGTTTTGGAAACCAAAGACCCATTACGGCTAGAGAGTATAACTGAGGTAAGTAATTAATATACTGATCACACATTGCATTGCTTTATAATTCTATCACTTCACATGTCAATATAAAAGCACAAATGACTGGTTATATATACTGATCGCTAAACTTTGTTATTTTTGAAGCATTCTATTTTTCATTTTGTTTTAAGATTCTGATAACAGCACAAAAATCTAACCTGTCTAAAAAAATCAAGTGAATAGAAACACAAAATTATAAGGATTAACCATTACATGGTTTATATAAGTTTTATGTACAGTACTGGATGTAAGTGGGATTTTTATTTTTAGTATGATGTGTTTTTAGTATAGCAGTTTTCTCAGTTGTAAATACTCCATGTAAATACCCCAGTTTATAGGTTTGTGCTATAGTCTTGCCTACCATTCGATAAGAGCTAATGGTACTAGAATTGTTTTTACACAGAATACCTTCTATTTTTGTTTCATTAACAATGCTAGATGCTGCTGTTTTTTGCATTTCCTCTGTGCTAATGGAGATGTGAGCTATAATCGTGTGTAAAAGAGCACCATTTCAAGCTCTTATGACACAGATCATATGAGGGGATTCAGATATGTCTAGTCAAATGTATATATAGAAACCATTTGTTGGATTTTACTGTCAGCCATTATCACCAAAGATCTTTGGAGATGTATACTTTGTCTGAGATCAATGGTTTGCATGAGAAATGTGCTATTTACTGTTTCTGTGGACTGGTGGGGATGACATCTGAGTTTCATATAAGTCAGTGATGTTCTTGCCATCTATACCATCTTAACAAGTGTTGATAAGATTGTATAATGATGTTAAACAATGGGAAATGAGGATCAGAATAACGAATGGGTTTACAATGATCAGGTCCTCAGGGGAAAATTGTCTTTTTTGGTTTATTCCTTTGTTGTCCTTGGTTTTGTAATCCTCGACATTGCTTTTAATGTCAGCTGATGTCATCTGGCTATATAATCTTGTTTTAAGTAGCTTGTAATGCTGAAGTCTAGCGAATCAATAAACTTCAGCTAAAACATTACACAAGCATCTCTCAATCTGTATTAAGACGCCATGGTATTACACTGTAATATGTAAAATTATAAAATGATTTTCGTCAGGTTTGTTATGTGTACTACAGCAACATTGATGATAAAGACAGCAGCACACTTCATGTTTACAGATGCCTTACAAGTAGTAGTGGTAGACATATATCCTTCTACAGCTTACTAACCCCTGTTTTGTATAGACAACTTTAAATTCAATTATCCTTTTTCCTGTAGACAGTAAGTCATAGTACTTACAATGACATCATTTGATCTTGTTTTCTGTAAACATGGATCATTATTACACTGTCATTACATAGCCATTGTGCTTTGTCCGTCCTCATGGCCGTCTGATGTGCGTAAACTTTTGACATTTTAAACTTCTTTTCTGGTTACATCAGTGGGATTGAGTTCAAGCTTGCATGGAATGATCCTCAGATGGTCCTGACCAAGTGTTGTTATTTTTATGGTCAGTCTGAAATCTGAGATGCCTGCCATGGCTGCCATCTTGAAAAACATATTTTAAACTTCTTCTCCAGTTTCACTAGTGCCATTGAGCTAAAAATGGATGGTGATGCTAATGAAAGGTAGCCAACAAAGTGTTGTTATTTTTCGACCTTGTCAAAATTTAGGTATGGCAGCCAGGGAGGCCATTTCATAAGATGTTTGCACAATCATGGTGCAACTTTACTGTCAAAAATAGGTAACACTTGTTACAGTTACCTACTCCTCACCAAACTGCCATCTGCATCGTGGAAACAACGTCTTAGTAAGATTTCATTTAACGTAGAAAAAATAACCCTTCTCCCAGCTGAAAGTTTTTGTAGTCAGATGACCATTAAGGCGCATGCATGGATCATATTTACACTGACCTTGTTCAATCTGTAAATATGGATCATATTTTCACCGACCTTGTTTGATCTCATAACATGGATCATAGTCCATTATATAGTTCCACTGACATCATTTAATACACTAATTTGGCTTGTTTATTTCAGGAGAAGAAGAAGGAGATGGAGGACCTTCTTGGACGAAGTCTTCAATCTTTGATGTGTGTCCCTGTTTCCAGTAGAAACTATGATGGACTTGTTGCTATAGCATGTGTTGCTAACAAGTTTGGCTCAGACAGGTCAGTCGGCTACAGGCACATTATACGCTTTGTTGCCCAGAAAGGTTCCGTCATGTTAGGATCTGCTCTTGTGAAAAGTCATAATTTTGTGATGATTGAACTTTTGAAAACCAAAATCTATACCTCATTTAAAGGGGGAAAATTAGGGTTATTTAAATGAAAAAAAAAAAAAAAAAACAGCAATAAGATCAGTGTGCTTGCTTTCTCATGGCATGTTGGTGAGTTTTGGTAGTAGTCTTTATGTGTTTAAGAGATTTTTTTATGCTAAATATCATCTTCTTTTCACATTTAAATACTGTGTGATATATTATGGTGTTCATCATCATGTTCCTTTCTGAATCAACACGTATTTTTTTCTCCTTTTTTAAATAGATAAGCAAAATTCTGTATGTTGTCAGATTATTGCTTTGGTGTTAAAAATATATGTGTACTTGTAAGGATAAGTACATCTAGCTTTAAATGAAAGAGATTTTTTATTAGAATACAATGAGACACAAAAGTCTACTCTAGATTTAAGGAATGTGTTGCCTATATACATAACAAAATTGTTTTGGAACTTCTGTTTCAAATGTCTTGTTTTTTTCTTTTAACAGTTTTACCAGTGGTGATGTTGAGACAATACAGACCTGTTTTAAGTACACTGCCGCCATTTTAACTAATACTTTAGCATTCCAAAATGAACGCAAACTAAAAAAACAAACACAGGTACTGTCACTTTCTTTATTTGTTGCAATGTGGTAGATGGATAAATAGATGTGGCCATATTTAATGTCCAATTACAAGTTGTGTTTTTCTTCCTGAAAAAATGTAAAGTTGGAAGTTCAGTGAAAAAGCCATTGGTTATTAAAATATCTCAAGTAATAAGTCTGATTTTGTGAGGAATAATCTGTTTGGTATGATAATGACTCTGTAGTGTCCTGTGAAGTTAGTTATGATGTGTACTAATGAATACCCTTTTTTGTCTCTGTAACAGGCTATGTTAGATGTTGCCAAGAACCTGTTTACCCACTTAGGTGAGTTATCATCTGTCCACTGTAAGGGTCTGGACGACTTTCCAGTCATACCTAGTAATGGGGTTGGGGTCAATGTCAGAGCATACTCCTACTTTGACCGTATTAAACCAGAACAGGACCACCTGACAACTTTATGCCGCCCACGAGTGGAAGGGGCCTCTCTCCAACACAACAACTCAGCCAGATTAGCGTCTAAAAATCTTAATAGAGAGATACAACAACAAGGAATACTGGCTGAAAAATTAACTGGCTATTATGATATTGAGGAAATAGCTCGTCAGCCTCATCAAAAGGTCAAAGGTTATCAAGTTCACCCAAAAATAAAATCTCCAGAACATAAACAGGCGAAGAAGTCCAGTGACACAAGCAGCCCTCAGAAGGAAACTGTATCACCTTACAGGCTTCCAGGGGGAAGACGACAAGATCAGACCAGTGTAGAAAGTGTTGAAGATGACTTACTTTCATTGTCCATTGATTCTTGTGTTCCTTGTAGAATGTCTGATGTTTCCAGATCAGAGTTTGCTCTGATAAACAATTCCAATGAGCAATACAGAACAGATGATGAGGAGCCAGACCAGTACCCTCCATCTGATACTAGTCACTGTAAAACAGACTTTCAGTATTATATCCAGGAAAGTTGCACCAGCCCAGGTGACCAGAGCTCTACAAATGTACAATCTATTAGACATCATTCTGACGGCTATCCAGGAAATGGATTTACATGCAGTGAGTCCATGAGAAATTTTGGAGAAGATGGTGGAAGTGCATCCTCCAGTGCATCTAGTATTTACACTTTAGCTGAGCCGCCGAAAGATTTGGCTGAAGAGAGACATCATGACAGGACCTCACATGGAATTAATGCAAAAAGCACTGAAAGTAAACAAGGGGGACTGCTTTACCAAACTGTGGTTGAGGCATTCAGAGATGCTGGAAAGGATACAAGTGAAGCTGTCTGCCCTGTAAATTTGACTGATGCATCTTTCCATCAGTTTGATAGTGCTAGCTCTGCTCCGGACACAACTCTGACTGCGCATTCAGAGCAGAAACATAAACAGGAACTGGACTACAGCAGCAACTCAAGTCCCAAGACAGATGTTCCATTTTCTGACAATCATGTTTCTACCTCATTAGCGTCAAGCTCACCTGATTCTGATTCCCCTACAAGTCCGTATGTTCCCAGTGAAACCTCCTCAGAAATGTTCACCTGCAAGGAATTTGAGTCATCAGATCTGAATGTTGATGCAAGTGAATTCAGCTCAGGATCTGATGTAGAAGAGATTGGTAGAGATTGCCATAGGTTGTCCTTTCATGATGCTTGGTCAGGCAATAGCACAAGGATTCAGACATGTCGTTCCCTACCTCTCAGCTCACAGATGCAAACTATTGAGGGATATGAGATGGATAGAAGTCAAATTCTTGATCCACAGGTATCTAACGTCAGGTTCTCTACAAGTGACCCTGGAATTCATCACTTTGAACCAAACGATGAATTTATGGAAAGCAAACCCAGTTTGAACTATGCTTTTTGCAAAGAAAGTTCTGCTGACACTGTAATGTCAACAGATTTCAGACGGCGACAAATATTTGCCTCCACCCTTGGTTTAGTGGGTAGTCTTGACCAAATTGGGGTAAGTCCATCAGAGTCTGGATTATGTGACCACACCATCATTGTAGAAGACACAGAATCCAGGGTCAGTCATACTTATGTCATCACCTCCGACTCTTTGATGTCCATTTCATCTGAGGATCTGCCCAAGGGGTCAGGCGACACCCAAGAGACTTCTAGGTGCACATTTATTGACAAAAATATGATAAATATATTAAGATTACAGCCCCCCAGTACTGATGCTTTGCCCATCACAAAAAGTAGGTCTGCATTGTTCAGTTCTGCACCTGTGTTGCAGTTATGGAGATCAAAGTTTCTTCAGGCGTTTCCTTATACAAGACAAAAAAATCATAGGGGAAAAAACTGAATAAAATTGAGGATTAAGATTATAATTTTGTTGTAAAACTGCTTGCCTTGTGTACCAGGATTAGTCTGCAAGAATTTGTAAATGTTTATTACAGTTAACTTTGATTTCAATTTTTTTATTGGTGTTTTTTATTTTTCAAGTTGTAAGCAAGAGTTATGTTGTTGATCTGTTTTGTTAGATTGTGTTGAATTTTCTTGTTTTCTTTGCAAGTTTCATTCACTGTATGCTCTGTATTGGTCATAAATACAAATGATCTGTTATGTAACAAATACATGATATCTGCTATATACAGACAAGTTAATGAAATATAGAAAGACATATTTACATTCAAATAACATATTTATGTATCATCAATACATGTACATCTTTGCCAATGTATTGTAATTCCCTTGAATTTTAACAACTTGTTGCCATTTTGCACAATTTTCAAGAACCTGATTCCATGACATTTTTGATTTAGAGCTCCAAGCTGATTTTGTAATGATAGAAAGCATTGTTAATTTATGAAATTAAAAGATGATGAAGTGTAATCTTAAATGTCTTAATGTTACTGATACATTATGTGACACTCATAATTTTTGTCACTTTCACTTGCAGATGACTTAACGAAACTTCTACGAGAAATTATGCAAGAAGCTAGGAATCTAACACAAGCAGAGAGGTGAGAAGTTAATATGAGCTATGCAGCATTTTCCAAGTTAACTAGAATTAATTTGAACATTGATTAGTGAAACCGTATTTTGCATCGCTCCAAAGGCATAGGAAGATTATTGCAGGGAATGCATTATTGATTCCTCTGTGAAATCTCAGAATATTTCATTTTAATCCCATGTTGTTTATGAATTAAACATTAGACTAGATTTCTTTACGATAGCTTTTTGAAAAATAAAGCTTTGTAAAAAAAAGTTAGTATCACAAATTCCTAATACTCTTTCTTAGATATTTAATTCGCCTATATACTTAGGCAATAGTATGTTTGATGTCTGTGCATCTACTGGAGATTAGATCATGAATTTCGGTTTTAACATGAGACCAAGTCATATCTGTCATGTCATTGCCATTATATTCTTCGATATTGACATCCATCATCTGCCTGAAAAAGACAGATGGACGTCATTATTTTGGCTAGTGTCAGAATGATTGCCATGACAACCTTTTGGCTGTTTGTGAGTATACCAGTAATAAGATCATGAAAATTTTCCAATTAAAAATATGTAATAATATCAGCATCGTTTTAGAAGAAATATTAGCTGTATGTGTTGCTGTGATATTGAGTTTTTCTACTTGTGTTCTATTTTATAGGTGCTCTGTATTCTTGATAGACGAAGAGACAGAGGAGCTTGTCGCTAAAGTGTTTGATGGAATCACTACCAATGACAAGGAGGTACTATCTCATATTAAAATGTAGATATTTGATTTTTAATTTGATTCGTCTTTACAACTTGTACATGTGTCACACACAAAAGAAGTAAATCTAGCTGAATATTTTTTTTTCATTTCTTAAAACTGTTACTGTTTTAAATCAGTTTTCTCTGCTTTAATGGTAACATCCACTTTGCTTCATTATGTGTGATAAGATGTAGATTTATGAGGTTGGGTTGGAGATTTAAAAAAAAAAATTTGCCCAATACGGACAGAATTTCCCCTGCAAACCTGCTCAACATGGTGCTGAACATAAACATTCAGCCTGCATGGTTTAGAGCAACCATTAAGCAAGGAGAATTCTGCAATGTTTAAAAAGAAATGAAACTAGTGCCCAATGTGAGAATAGCTTTGAATACATAGAGGGGGGGGGAAACTTCCAAAATGACCATTGACGATCTTTGTCTGGCAATGCATTTGCACAGTTTAAAATGGATCTTTTTTTAAAGATTTCACAGGAATGACCAGTATAATATGGTGATGTGCCCCCTGATGATACTCTGCATTTCTCCCCTGTTTCAATGAGTTATACATTTTGAGAGACTGCCATTTTCCAGATAATATGGGTTTTTGCTGTTTAACAAAAAGCCAGTTATACCATATACATAGCATTCTATCAATAAATACCCTCAACAACCTCAATACCAGAAAGTACATATGTTTAACAAAAAGCCAATTATACCATATACATAGCATTCTATCAATAAATACCCTCAACAACCTCAATACCAGAAAGTACATATGAAGGACACCAGCTGAATACCTACAACTGTTGTGTATTGTATAGTATTTCTAACTAATTGTTCAATCCATACAAAAGATATATTGTAAATAACTGAATTTCAGGTTCAGTCGGAGATCCGCATGCCAATAATCCAGGGTATAGCCGGACATGTAGCTACAACAGGTAAGTTATCTGTCATTATAAATGTCAGCATATGCACAATGTAGGTGGACGGTTAAAACAATTTTTGTTTTTTTTACTTCAGGTCCATACCTTTCTATTCTGACCTGGGTAAACATAGGTGCAATAGGATTGCACTAATGTCTTTTGTCAATATTGTAGCAAGAATTTCTCTACTGAATTCTTGTTGTAGATGTTGAATTTGACCAGCTCATGAGTGACTTTATGGTAAACAAAAATCAGCTTCTTCCTTAGAACATTTGTTTTTGTCCATGTCTGGTAACTGTGTTTGACAGGTTACATTTGCACTAGTGATGTAAGTAGGTTTGACCTGCGGAGTGTGTTTACAGTTCAAAGTGTTTACGTCTTAATATTCTAATGAATGGACTTTGAGGAACCTGTCTGCTGCACACATTACAGAACACTGTCATGTTTCTACTGCTGTTTTAAGGACTGCCTGACTATTTACCGATGTCCTACGGTCTATTCTGTTATTATGTCACTCAAATGAAGTTGGGGACATATTTTTTTTGCTTCATTTCTCTTTTTTTTCTGTTGGTTATTTGTTCTGGTTTCTTCCACTGAGAAAAGTTACCAGCATTTGGCTACTGGAAGTATCATTAATAACCACAGGTGTAGCTTTGAGATCCCCATTACAATTGGCACTTGTTTCTTATTTGATTAAAATTATCTCGAACAGCCTATTTGTAGGTCTTTAATGAAATACTTTGTGTTTTCTTCACAGGTAAACTTCTAAATATAAAAGATGCCTACTCACATCCAATGTTTTATCGAGGAATTGATGACTCCACAGGATTTAGAACCAGGTACAACATATCAATATATACTCATTTTAAGTTTGAAATTCGGTATTATGTAAATATAATCTGACAGTCAACTAGAATATGATTGTTTCCCTCCTTCAGAATGGGCTGTACATGAAGATTTCAATTTTCAAATCTATTTGGCCATAGAAGTAATATATATGTATTACATTTCAAAACATTTTTCTTATCCAGAAACATTTTATGCTTCCCCATCAAAAATGAATCTGGCAACGTGCTTGGAGTGGCCCAGCTATGTAACAAGAAGACAGGACCATTCTTCACTGTGTTTGATGAAGATGTTGCATCAGCATTTGCTGTGTACTGCTGCATCAGCATCAGCCATGTAAGTCTTCTTACACTCAGTGCTGTCTTTGTTAAATTATCACCATACTTAAATATTCTACAACCGAATTTGGATACACTGCAGAAATGTCAAATGATAAGCTATTAAAATTTTACATATGATTGAAAAAGGACAAAAAGAAAGAAAATACCCGTAGAAAGAACCCTGAAACTGAAATGTTAAAAGGTATTGAAACTGAAAAAACCCTGGTGTGATGGTTGGTGTTAGATCAACATTTCAAAACCATATGTAAAATTCTGCCTGCAGAGTAACTCAATGTTAGGCTTATCAGAAGATCTTTTATACACCTTGATGAAACTATGTTTAAACCATTATTTAAAGCATTGGTTAGGTCACATCTGGAACATGCAGTATGCATATGGAACCCCTACAAAACAATAGACATCCAAATGATAGAAAATGTACAACAAAGAGCCACCAAGCTAATACCACGATTTAAAGAATTATCGTATGAGAAGCGACTACATACAGCTCCCCACTCTGAAGTATAGAAGAGGACACTTGATAACTGTCTGGAAAATAATGAACAAACATTTTGATGAAAGAATTACCTTAAACCTGCTTATCTTTGATATTAATGAAAGAACTTGTGGTCATAATTTTAAACTGTACAAAAGACATTGTAAAACAGATCATAGATGAAATTCAATTACATATAAAGTTGTTGAGGTATGGAATAGTCTACTTGTTCAAATCAAAAATGCAAAAACTTGTCAAGACATTTGAACATCTATTGGATGATCATTTCAAGAACATTATGTATGGATTTTAATTAATATGATAAGTACATTTCATTAGCCAAGTCATTGATACTTTGTTGTATGTAAATATAACATAACGATATAGAGGCTTTTAGCCTGTGTCCATCATTGCTATTAAATTGCTATTAAGATGTTTTGTCAGTGTCTCCAGGTAGATTCCACCATTGTCTCACCGGAGATAGGATAGACATTTGATTAAGGTTGGACTGGTGTCTCATATTACATATAAACATCATGATTTCACTGTGATATCCCTGTCCAATGTCTTTTCACAGATGACTATTATGGTGATGCATTCCTGTTTGAAATAGGTCATACCTCATATTAAAAAGTGATATTTTTCATAGCTATTTGTAAATGTGGTGTACAAAATCTGCCATTGCATGACATCACTTCAAAAACCAAATTGGTTTAAAATGAAAAGCATTTCAAAGACATAATTACAATAACTTTTGCTTCATTTTTTAATTAGTGCTTTGAAGTTAATTAGAACTCAGATGATCTGTGTTAGAAGCTATTGTTGAAGTATTGTTTAAGATGTTCCTTAGCACCTCATTAAGTTTGCCACACCTAAACTATGGGCCAAGTTCCAAGGTGTGTACGAGCCATGATGGTGATTAGTATTAACACATGCTGCTCTTTCAGTCCCTCATGTACCAACGTGTGATTGCGGCGCAGATTCGTAACAGTCTTGCCAACGAGTTGATGATGTACCATATGAAGGTATGACCACCACCTGGTGGTCCTTTTAGTGGTGCCACTCTGAACAGGCAACACCACATCCTCTGGATGTCTACCTTACTTTAGCACTATTTTTTAAAATTTTATTTCAGTTCTGCAATTTACAAATCTCCTGTACTGAAGATTTATTTTTTCATTTCAATCAAACCTCAACAATTTTTCAATTTTCAAGTCATCTCATCCTTAATATTCACAGATAAAGAAAACAAAATCTGAGCGTAGATATTTTTTCTGGCCTTTTTTTGTTTGAAAAAAAAAGTAGTCAGGATATGAAAATTGAAGAATTGTATGCCAATTTCCTGTAATAAACCAACAGATCAAAAGTGTCATGATATGTTTTGAATTCATTTTAGACCATATTTTAAAATTTACACAGTAATGTCTTATTTTAGACCATTTGATAATTTTTCAGTGATAGTTTGATCTGTTGTTTGATGTGTTGTATGTAGTTCTTGTGTTGTAGTATATAGTTTTATCCCTGTATACCAATTATCCATAGTTTTATCCTTGTATACCATTTATCCTACAATTTCTATCTGATCTGTTAATACTACACATTTTGTTCCTCAACAAAATCTCCTGTTCATTTTCCTATCATCAAAAATCTGTCCAATTGTATATCTAAAATATCGCTAACTGCCATTAGACAGTGGATTAAAACTTGATCTCAAGGATTGGCCATAACCTTCATTCTGAAGCTCAGAATAAATAAACCATGGCCAGTTCACATGTTCCATGCCCAGCATCATAATTTTCTATCAACTTCCTCTTTGGTTACCCGAGTTGTGTGTTTGGTGATGACCTGTCCTCTATCTAGGCCTCCTATTGTACTTTAAAGGATTCCTCAAAATCACGCTACTAGTACCTGTACCCAAAATATATCCCACAAGTGTATACAGATGTGACATATCTTAACTACCACCGAGATAAAAAATTCATTAAAGATTGGCAAGATATCTGCCATGTACCTTCCATGTACCTTCAATAAAGTCTGCCACACTAAATTCTTGATTATAATCAAGTTAATATCAGGTTACTGGCAATGATAGATTTCTCTGATGAACCTGCACATTACTCTTTGATTTTCGTGATTAGATTAGAGATTGGAGTTGATTAAATGCCCTGCAAGGATCTAATCAGCATCTTATCATCATCCAGAATCAGACACGACCTTTACACACACAGATAGTCACAGAGTCTCAACACATAGCAACCTCTACACACACAGATAGTCACAGAGTCTCAACACATAGCAACCTCTACACACACAGATAGTCACAGAGTCTCAACACATAGCAACCTCTACACACACAGCTATAGTCACAGAGTCTCAACACATAGCAACCTCTACACACACAGATAGTCACAGAGTCTCAACACATAGCAACCTTTACACACACAGCTATAGTCACAGAGTCTCAACACATAGCAACCTCTACACACACAGATAGTCACAGAGTCTCAACACATAGCAACCTCTACACACACAGATAGTCACAGAGTCTCAACACATAGCAACCTCTACACACACAGCTATAGTCACAGAGTCTCAACACATAGCAACCTCTACACACACAGATAGTCACAGAGTCTCAACACATAGCAACCTCTACACACACAGATAGTCACAGAGTCTCAACACATAGCAACCTCTACACACACAGCTATAGTCACAGAGTCTCAACACATAGCAACCTCTACACACACAGCTATAGTCACAGAGTCTCAACACATAGCAACCTTTACACACACAGCTATAGTCACAGAGTCTCAACACATAGCAACCTCTACACACACAGATAGTCACAGAGTCTCAACACATAGCAACCTCTACACACACAGATAGTCACAGAGTCTCAACACATAGCAACCTCTACACACACAGATAGTCACAGAGTCTCAACACATAGCAACCTCTACACACACAGATAGTCACAGAGTCTCAACACATAGCAACCTCTACACACACAGATAGTCACAGAGTCTCAACACATAGCAACCTCTACACACACAGATAGTCACAGAGTCTCAACACATAGCAACCTCTACACACACAGATAGTCACAGAGTCTCAACACATAGCAACCTCTACACACACACACAGATAGTACACACACAGAGTCTCAACACATAGCAACCTCTACACACACAGATAGTCACAGAGTCTCAACACATAGCAACCTCTACACACACAGATAGTCACAGAGTCTCAACACATAGCAACCTCTACACACACAGATAGTCACAGAGTCTCAACACATAGCAACCTCTACACACACAGATAGTCACAGAGTCTCAACACATAGCAACCTCTACACACACAGATAGTCACAGAGTCTCAACACATAGCAACCTCTACACACACAGATAGTCACAGAGTCTCAACACATAGCAACCTCTACACACACAGATAGTCACAGAGTCTCAACACAGCAACCTCTACACACACAGATAGTCACAGAGTCTCAACACATAGCAACCTCTACACACACAGATAGTCACAGAGTCTCAACACATAGCAACCTCTACACACACAGATAGTCACAGAGTCTCAACACATAGCAACCTCTACACACACAGATAGTCACAGAGTCTCAACACATAGCAACCTCTCACACACACACAGTCTCAACACATAGCAACCTCTACACACACAGATAGTCACAGAGTCTCAACACATAGCAACCTCTACACACACAGATAGTCACAGAGTCTCAACACATAGCAACCTCTACACACACACAGATAGTCACAGAGTCTCAACACATAGCAACCTCTACACACACACACACAGTCTCAACACATAGCAATACACACACAGTCACAGAGTCTCAACACATAGCAACCTCTACACACACAGATAGTCACAGAGTCTCAACACATACACACACCTCTACACACACAGCAACCTCTACACACACAGATAGTCACAGAGTCTCAACACATAGCAACCTCTACACACACAGATAGTCACAGAGTCTCAACACATAGCAACCTCTACACACACAGATAGTCACAGAGTCTCAACACATAGCAACCTCTACACACACAGATAGTCACAGAGTCTCAACACATAGCAACCTCTACACACACAGATAGTCACAGAGTCTCAACACATAGCAACCTCTACACACACAGATAGTCACAGAGTCTCAACACATAGCAACCTCTACACACACAGATAGTCACAGAGTCTCAACACATAGAGTCTCAACACATAGCAACCTCTACACACACAGATAGTCACAGAGTCTCAACACATAGCAACCTCTACACACACAGATAGTCACAGAGTCTCAACACATAGCAACCTCTACACACACAGATAGTCACAGAGTCTCAACACATAGCAACCTCTACACACACAGATAGTCACAGAGTCTCAACACATAGAGTCTCAACACATAGCAACCTCTACACACACAGATAGTCACAGAGTCTCAACACATAGCAACCTCTACACACACAGATAGTACACACACAGCAACCTCTACACACACAGATAGTCACAGAGTCTCAACACATAGCAACCTCTACACACACAGATAGTCACAGAGTCTCAACACATAGCAACCTCTACACACACAGATAGTCACAGAGTCTAAACACATAGCAACCTCTACACACACAGATAGATGTCACAGAGTCTCAACACATACACACACACAACCTAGCAACCTCTACACACACACACAGTCACACATATAGTACACACACACATAGTCTCAACACATAGCAACCTCTACACACACAGATAGTCACAGAGTCTCAACACATCACAACCTCTACACACACAGATAGTCACAGAGTCTCAACACATAGCAACCTTTACACACACAGCAATAGTCACAGAGTCTCAACACATAGCAACCTCTACACACACAGCTATAGTCACAGAGTCTCAACACATAGCAACCTCTACACACACAGCTATTGTCACAGAGGTTTCCACACGTCCTGATCTTTACACACACAGCTACAGTCACAGAGGTTTCCACACATCACGACCTCTACACACACAGCTACAGTCACAGAGGTTTCCACACATCACAACCTCTACACACACAGCTATTGTCACAGAGGTTTCCACACATCACAACCTCTACACACAGCTATTGTCACAGAGGTTTCCACACATCACAACCTCTACACACACAGCTATTGTCACAGTCTCCACACATCACAACCTCTACACACACAGCTAAAGTCACAACCTCTACACACACACATGTGTTCACTTATGACACACTCACTACACACACAGCTAAAGTCACAGACTTCTCCATAACATGTTTTCTGATAGGAAGAAAGTAAATTGTTCTGATGTCTGGAAGTATTCTTGCTGTTATTCTATTTTGTACTAGTAGTAAATATTTCTCAATGCAATAAGGATTTTTCACTGGCTGAGTTATATGATGGTGTTAACTCTGCTGGAAGACTGGTGCCTGAATTTCTTTCCCAATTACCTTTCATGCTTTTAAGTCAGGCACCTGTGTGAATTTGTTTACATAAGGTAATTAAATATGTTAGGGTCACGATGATTGTGGTTTCCTAATTATCAATGGATCAAACCACAACGGTTTCATTGCGGTAACCAGTAATCAAATAATTTTTCTGTAGAAAATTTTTTTTTTTTTAATCTGACCCCAAAGAAGTACCTGCGCACTATACCCGAGTGCGCACTATACCCACAAATTTACGGTATCCTATATTTGATTTTAGGAGATTGTCATTACCTGAAATAATCACAACAAAGTAGAATGGGATTTAATTCCTGGTTTTCTGTATAACTTGGCAGTCATGGATAATTCAACTGTGAAAAAAAGTAAAAGGTATAAAAAAATAAATGACCCAAGATTTTCCTTTGTTATTGATATTTAAAATTTGAAGAAAAACTCTAACCAGGTTTCTACATTGTATTGTTTCTACTGCGAGATCTGAAGGTTGAGGTCAGTTAATTCCATAACCCAGCTGGGAAATCTTCAAGACAATGCTATGTTAGAAAGAATGCTATTGTTAAGGTTTAATTGTCAGTTTTGTGCAGGTTTATTGGTGAGAGCTGCACTGTTAAGCAATATCTTAACCAGCTGTTTTTGGGAATTTCAAGGAGGTTATAGATGTTACCTGTTCACTGTTGAAATAAAAAAAAATCACAAACATTGAAATTAAGCAAGACGCCCACATAGTTCTGACAAGACGGTAAGGATAAACAAAAAACAACTCATCCCCAATGTATTGCAATAGATTATCTTTTTTTTTCACTATTCTTCGATTGCCCTGCGTACCGTGAGGTTTTCAAATATCAAGAAGTCACTGAACTCCCACTTACATAACAGCATTGGCTCTATTTCATGGACTTAAACTTTGAAATTGTTCTGATGATAGCAGAATCACAATCAATATTTTAATATTAAACAGATTTAAATGCAACCATGAATCCAATAAAAAAAAAATATGGTGAAAATCTTACTTTCATGAATTTTTGATCTATTGAAACTTGCCATTTGATTGGAAACTTTTATCAGAAAATTTCACTGCAATAAAACGAACCAAATCTGCTGCAAAAGTCCTAGTTACATTGTAATTGTTATACACTAAATACAGGTAAATTGATTACTGATCAGCGGATATGATAAACTGTATTACCAGAACATCAATCATCAAATACAGGGCATAACAAATTCAGGGTGATTGGAAGTAATAATTTAGTGCAAAAAGATTGATGACGTTAAAGTATTGTCTCTTGGAGATGCTGGTCTTACTGACACAATAGCACTCTTTACCATAAGTCAGGTTTGTGAGTCCATTTATCAACTTGGACCGACTTCTTTGAAAACTTTCATGAGAAATGGGAAGTGTCTGTAGTTGGTCATTGACCAACCAGTCTGTAATGTACATATTTTGGATGAAACACCAAAATCACAGCAGCTGAATGAAGCCACTGAAGCTGTCAGGAACCCCATCTATTTGGTACACTGTTTTAGGGATAGCATTAGTAAGAACCAGGCTAGTCATTATGATGTGAAGGACTGACTCATATATCTCCACAGACAGGACCTAGACAGTGAACTTTAGCAAGCAGTCAAATGACCTTTTTGGATACATGCCTACATGTAAACCGCATTGTCACTGATTGGTTAATAGCTATGCATACAGGCCATTATTTGAATTTTGGTTCAAGCCTCTGACATGAAAACACAGAGGCTCAGTAAGAAGACCCCTAATGGCTACTGAAGCCTCATTGTAATATCTGCCTTACTGTGAAGGATTTACACAACAGAGTTCTATCATGTGATCAAGATATTTTCAGTTGGATTGGATATTGATCTTGTTAAAAATCCAAGGGCTCTAATGAAATATTTGAACATCAGTCACAAAAATAAAGATATGCAACAATTCCATGATATAGACAATGACTTCCAGGCTTGTTATGTACCGTTTGCAGGCTTTTTCTCTTTGGCCTTTGTTGGTACCAGTGGACTGACATCTTGTGGTCAGCAGGCCTTCTGTTGTCAGTCTGTGTTCTAGTTCCATTTACCTGTACATTTGGTTTCTTTAATGTTTTGTCTCTTTATTCCTACATGTGGCTTTGATGTCCTTGTATGGCCTACCAACAAATTGATGAATGTGTGTTGTTTTCTCTGCTGTTTGGCTGAAATGACTGATTGTCAATGTAAAATTATACAAAAACAATATTTCTATTGAAATGGAAACCCAAACTGTACCTATTTGCAATAAAAAGTCAGACACATAGATCATGCAAGTTAAAACAGGCTGCAAACAACACATTTTCAGACTCTCTTTTGATGTGGTAGAATGATTTAATTTAGTTTTCAGATGTCTAATTATTATTTTTGTATTCCTTAATTACATTCTGTTAAAGTTTCTACTTTTGCATGTTTGAAGAAATGATTTCAGACTTAAAGCTTGCAGAAGTAGATTCTTTTCACCTTTTTTTGTTTGTAGATGGTGATTTAATTTTGACCGCTTTCTTGTGTGTAGTTTTGCAGGTGTTGAGTATTTCTATCTTCTTTCTCACCTCATTTCAGTTTGTGTGCCTCTATTTTATCTTTGGTCGGCCCTTGTTTACTTCCAGTGTCTTATGTACAAGAAGTTACAAGACTCCCAGCACAGAAATAAGCTAGCAAATGAACTTATGAATTATCACATGCAGGTTTGTGTGGTATTTTTTTTTCATTTAAATATATGTTTCCACAAATTTCTTTTGATGTTTTATTTCCAAACATATTCTCTATTTCTGCTTGATGTGCTTTTGTTTTAGATCAGAATCTTGTAAATGTACATAGATCATTTCTACCTTTACATAGTTTTTCATTGTAGTCATGTGGTATATCTGTTCTAACAAAATTTAAACGCTCATTTTCTAAAGTATGAATATGGCTCAGAATAGAAAAAAATGATGATAGCCAAATAATTTTGATTTAGATGGGAGGGAAAATCAGACTATCAACTACGTAATGTTTTATGAGTTTTGTTGTTGCTGAATGTATTGAAATCCTGAAAGTAATTTATAATTATTTGTACCCACTGATATTGTTATGGATTGAGTAAATCGGTCATGAATCATTATAAGTCTTATGATTTGCTAGCTAAAGAGGTTGTAATAAAGTAATCTTCCAACAATAACCAAAAGTTCAGGTTACTGATATTTTGCCTGTAGCATGTAGGGATGAAGGGATCCATAGTTTTTCCAAGTGAATGACCTTGACTCACTTTCAAGATCGAAGGCATCAAATGTCTTAAAACCTTTTGAACAATAATCCATAGGTCCATTTGGTACTGATATTTAGCCTATAATATTTGGGGATAAAGAACTATCAAATTGTTAAAATAAATCATCTTGGCTGACTTTCAAGGTAATGATTTTATAAAAAAAAAACTTCCTAAATAACAAACATGATCTTGATAAAGGACCAGTTGAATGCTTGGATGAAAGGCTACAAAGTTCCTGCAAAGGAATGACTTATATCATTTTCAAGGTCGCAGATGTCAAAGGTATTAATAATTTTAAACTCTATTTAATATTGTATTTCTGGGACTATAAGCTGCACCGGTATATAAGCCGCAGAGGTCATTTTAAATGATTTTATTTTCTTACAAAGTGATAACCGTAATTTTGACCAGAGTTTGTTGATATAACAATGGAGGACAAGTTACCAAGATCATGAGTGACACATTTAAACAAATGATATGCAGATAATCCTTTATTTTATTGGTGTAGTTAAAAAAATGTAAAATAGCAAATATCAAATTCATTTGACTTAGTTACCTTCATAGATTGTCTATGCACAGATATATGGCCTGATGTTATGTACTTTACTATCTCGCCATCAGTGTCTGTACTGTTAAATATTAATAAAGGCCCTTGCATATTGACCAAATTCTTATAGTCCCATATTCTTTCTTCTTGTAAGTTTCATGAAGCCATTCATATCATAAACAAGCATGGAGGTTGTTCTAGAATTTGACTTACATCCCAGGATGCATAAAGCTAGTGTAAACATTTACTTTGGCTTTATATAAACCACAAAAAGTCCAGAAAATATTATTACAATTCATTAAAAGGTATGAGTACTTAAATCTACAACAATGTTATTTTATACATAAATCTTCAAATCATCCTGTATGTGATTGCAAATGACAGTTCTAGGCAATCTGTTTCAGTCAGTTTTGTACATGAGAGAGCTATTATAATACATAGGATTCTTGAGATAGTGTTTTGCACATGAGGGGGCTATTATAATACATTGTTTTCCTGAGATAGTGTTTTGTACATGAGGGGGGTTTTATAATACATAAGATTCTTGAGATAGTGTTTTGTACATGAGGGAGCTATTATAATACATCGTTTTCCTGAGATAGTGTTTTGTACATGAGGGGGGTTTTATAATACATAAGATTCTTGAGATAGTGTTTTGTACATGAGGGAGCTATTATAATACATTGTTTTCCTGAGATAGTGTTTTGTACATGAGGGGGGTTTTATAATACATAAGATTCTTGAGATAGTGTTTTGTACATGAGGGAGCTATTATAATACATTGTTTTCCTGAGATAGTGTTTTGTACATGAGGGGGGTTTTATAATACATAAGATTCTTGAGATAGTGTTTTGTACATGAGGGAGCTATTATAATACATTGTTTTCCTGAGATAGTGTTTTGTACATGAGGGAGCTATTATAATACATAAGATTCTTGAGATAGTGTTTTGTACATGAGGGAGCTATTATAATACATTGTTTTCCTGAGATAGTGTTTTGTACATGAGGGGGCTATTATAATACATAAGATTCTTGAGGGAGCTATTATAATACATCGTTTTCCTGAGATAGTGTTTTGTACATGAGGGAGCTATTATAATACATAAGATTCTTGAGATAGTGTTTTGTACATGAGGGAGCTATTATAATACATCGTTTTCCTGAGATAGTGTTTTACATTTGAAGGAGCTATTATAATACATAGGATTCTTGAGATAGTGTTTTGTACATGAGGGAGCTATTATAATACATCGTTTTCCTGAGATAGTGTTTTACATTTGAAGGAGCTATTATAATACATAGGATTCTTGAGATAGTGTTTTGTACATGAGGGAGCTATTATAATACATCGTTTTCCTGAGATAGTGTTTTACATTTGAAGGAGCTATTTTAATACATAAGATTCTTGAGATAGTGTTTTGTACATGAGGGAGCTATTATAATACATCGTTTTCCTGAGATAGTGTTTTACATTTGAAGGAACTATTATAATACATAGGATTCTTGAGATAGTGTTTTGTACATGAGGGAGCTATTATAATACATCGTTTTCCTGAGATAGTGTTTTACATTTGAAGGAACTATTATAATACATAGGATTCTTGAGATAGTGTTTTGTACATGAAGGAGCTTTAAAGCTTATTGTTTAGTATTGAACATCAACCTGCTTTGTGTAATTATGATGTGTATTTGTTTGAATAGGTGGCACCAGAAGAAGTTGAAGAATTGGCTCATAATGATATACATCCACCCTCTTTCTGGCATAAAGACTTCGATAAATTTTCATTTCCTCCAAGAACTATACCAGAAGATGATACAGAAAAGGTATGTCTGTCTATAAGAGTCATTCTGTATAGGTTCAAACCCAATAAGTGGGGTTTTTAATGTGGTACTCTTCTTATATGGTTATCTGCCTTGATGATAAAGTTTCTGTATATATTGTTTCTCTGTAAAAGACTAAAGATTCCTTGGTTAATTTGAGGAATTGCTAGACAGTAAGTTGCTGATCAAGAGTTTCTGATTCAATTTCAGGCTTGTTTAACAATGTTTGAAGATTTGGGATTTATATCAAAATTCAGAATCAAGAGAGACACTCTTGCCAGGTATGTGTTTGATGTTTGTAACCAGATTTGTCTAGTGATGTTAAATGAATGATATAATTTGCTAAAGATAATTTTTGGAACTCTGATATTTTCACTATGCAGTTTAATAATTTAACAAAGTATCAACATTAAGAAACAATGAAGTGAAGACAGACTGTGCGGTGTATTTATTTGTCTCTAAAGTCTGTAGCTTAGATAAATTATTGGATTTGAATCCGTAATACTTTGACGTGTGTTTCAGGTTTGTGCTAATGGTGCGGCGAGGCTACAGAAATCCACCATATCACAACTGGATGCATGCATTTGCTGTCACACATTTCTGTTATGTTTGTATGAAGAACCTGAAACTTTCACAATATTTGGAGTAAGTGTTATGATTAATGAAAATTAAGATGTCAACATTATGAATTTTTAGCCCACTATCATCAGTCCATCCTGCCATCCGTTCGACTGTAAACAGTCTTTGTTATTGCTATTTCTTGAGAATTACTGGATGGATCTCTCATAAATGTCATATGTAAGTTACCCTTTGTCTCTAGTTATGCCCATTTAATTTGGGTCTGATCAGAAAAAGCAAAATGGCCGACAGATGGATATTTAAAATTTTGATGTTGCAAGTTTGTTATTGCTATTTCTTGAGAACTACTGTATAGATCTTTCTCAAATTTCATTTAAAGGTATCTTTTGGGCCCTAATTTTGGGCCGTTGTTGACCTCTATATCTTAAACCACCATGTACATGTGCTGGGATTTTTTCTCTTTCTCTGGTGATATATTGATATCACTAGATATTACATGTCTTTGTAACATCATCCCTAGTGTCATACTCATCCAAAAATCCTCAATTTTGATACAAATCACGAGACTGTAGGGGAGTGTATTAGATTATTGTATAATGAGTTTTTATCCTTGGTTGTGTAAGACTTGTGTATAACTATATCTTAACAAACAACTTATTTCTACCCTCTCTTTTCAGAGAATTAGAAATGTTTTCACTGTTTACATCATGTTTGTGCCATGATATTGACCACAGAGGAACCAATAATTCATATCAGTCAGTATCGGTGAGTATATGTGTTCCAGATAAGTTTATCAGTCAATGGTGTGTTCCAGACAAGTTTATCAGTCAATATCAGTGAGTATATGTGTTCCAGACAAGTTTATCAGTCAATGGTATGTTCCAGACAAGTTTATCAGTCAATATCAGTGAGTATATGTGTTCCAGACAAGTTTATAAGTCAGTATCAGTGAGTATATGTGTTCCAGATAAGTTTATCAGTCAATGGTGTGTTCCAGACAAGTTTATCAGTCAATATCAGTGAGTATATGTGTTCCAGACAAGTTTATAAGTCAGTATCAGTGAGTATATGTGTTCCAGACAAGTTTATCAGTCAGTATTGGTTAGTATATGTGTTCCAGACAATTTTATCAGTCAATGGTGTGTTCCAGACAAGTTTATCAGTCAATATCAGTGAGTATATGTGTTCCAGACAAGTTTATCAGTCAGTATCAGTGAGTATATGTGTTCCAGACAAGTTTATCAGTCAGTATTGGTTAGTATATGTGTTCCAGACAATTTTATCAGTCAATGGTGTGTTCCAGACAAGTTTATCAGTCAATATCAGTGAGTATATGTGTTCCAGACAAGTTTATCAGTCAGTATCAGTGAGTATATGTGTTCCAGACAAGTTTATCAGTCAGTATCAGTGAGTATATGTGTTCCAGACAAGTTTATCAGTCAGTATCATAAGTATATGTGTTCCAGACAAGTTTATCAGTCAGTATCAGTGAGTATATGTGTTCCAGACAAGTTTATCAGTCAATATCAGTGAGTATATGTGTTCCAGACAAGTTTATCAGTCAGTATTGGTTAGTATATGTGTTCCAGACAATTTTATCAGTCAATGGTGTGTTCCAGACAAGTTTATCAGTGAGTATATGTGTGAGTTTATATGTGTTCCAGACAAGTTTATCAGTCAGTATCAGTGAGTATATGTGTTCCAGACAAGTTTATCAGTCAGTATCAGTGAGTATATGTGTTCCAGACAACTTTATCAGTCAGTATCAGTGAGTATATGTGTTCCAGACAAGTTTATAGTCAGTATCAGTGAGTATATGTGTTCCAGACAAGTTATCATCAATATCAGTGAGTATATGTGTTCAAGTTTATATCAGTGAGTATATGTGTTCCAGACAAGTTTATCAGTCAGTATCAGTGAGTATATGTGTTCCAGACAAGTTTATTCCAGACAAGTTTATCATGTGTTCAAGTTTATCAGTGTATCAGTGAGTATATGTGTTCCAGACAGTTAGTATATGTGTTCCAGACAATTTTATCAGTCAATGGTGTGTTCCAGACAAGTTTATCAGTCAATATCAGTGAGTATATGTGTTCCAGACAAGTTTATCAGTCAGTATCAGTGAGTATATGTGTTCCAGACAAGTTTATCAGTCAGTATGGTTAGTATATGTGTTGAGTATATGTGTTCCAGACAAGTTTATCAGTCAATATCAGTGAGTATATGTGTTCCAGACAAGTTTATCAGTCAGTATCATAAGTATATGTGTTCCAGACAAGTTTATCAGTCAGTATCAGTGAGTATATGTGTTCCAGACAAGTTTATCAGTCAATATCAGTGAGTATATGTGTTCCAGACAAGTTTATCAGTCAGTATCATAAGTATATGTGTTCCAGACAAGTTTATCAGTCAGTATCAGTGAGTATATGTGTATATGTGTTCCAGACAAGTTTATCAGTCAGTATCAGTGAGTATATGTGTTCCAGACAAGTTTATCAGTCAGTATCAGTGAGTATATGTGTTCCAGACAAGTTTATCAGTCAGTATCAGTGAGTATATGTGTTCCAGACAAGTTTATCAGTCAGTATCAGTGAGTATATGTGTTCCAGACAAGTTTATCAGTCAGTATCAGTGAGTATATGTGTTCCAGACAAGTTTATCAGTCAGTTTATCAGTCAGTAGTATATGTGTTCCAGACAATTTTATCATGGTGTGTTCCAGACAAGTTTATCAGTCAATATCAGTGAGTATATGTGTTCCAGACAAGTTTATCAGTCAGTATCAGTGAGTATATGTGTTCCAGACAAGTTTATCAGTCAGTATCAGTGAGTATATGTGTTCCAGACAAGTTTATCAGTCAGTATCAGTGAGTATATGTGTTCCAGACAAGTTTATCAGTCAATATCAGTGAGTATATGTGTTCCAGACAAGTTTATTCAGTATATCAGACAATTTTATCAGTCAATGGTGTGTTCCAGACAAGTTTATCAGTCAATATCAGTGAGTATATGTGTATCCAGACAATGTTTATCAGTCAGTATATGTGTTCCAGACAAGTTTATAGTATCAGTGAGTATATGTGTTCCAGACAAGTTTATCAGTCAGTATCAGTGAGTATATGTGTTCCAGACAAGTTTATCAGTCAATATCAGTGAGTATATGTGTTCCAGACAAGTTTATCAGTCAGTATCAGTGAGTATATGTGTTGTTTATCAGTCCAGGTGTGTTCCAGACAAGTTTATCAGTCAGTATCAGTGAGTATATGTGTTCCAGACAAGTTTATCAGTCAGTATCAGTGAGTATATGTGTTCCAGACAGTTTATCACAAGTTTATCAGTCAGTATCAGTGAGTATATGTGTTCCAGACAAGTTTATCAGTCAATATCAGTGAGTATATGTGTTCCAGACAAGTTTATCAGTCAATATCAGTGAGTATATGTGTTCCAGACAAGTTTATCAGTCAGTATTGGTTAGTATATGTGTTCCAGACAATTTTATCAGTCAATGGTGTGTTCCAGACAAGTTTATCAGTCAATATCAGTGAGTATATGTGTTCCAGACAGTAAGTTTATCAGTCAGTATCAGTGAGTATATGTGTTCCAGACAAGTTTATCAGTCAGTATCAGTGAGTATATGTGTTCCAGACAAGTTTATTTATCAGTGAGTATATGTGTTCCAGACAAGTTTATCAGTCAGTAAGTATCAGTGAGTATATGTGTTCCAGACAAGTTTATCAGTCAATATCAGTGAGTATATGTGTTCAGACAAGTTTATCAGTCAGTGAGTATATGTGTTCCAGACAAGTTTATCAGTTATCAGTTTATCAGTATCAGTGAGTATATGTGTTCCAGACAAGTTTATCAGTCAGTATCAGTGAGTATATGTGTTCCAGACAAGTTTATCAGTCAATATCAGTGAGTATATGTGTTCCAGACAAGTTTATCAGTCAGTATCATTGAGTATATGTGTTCCAGACAAGTTTATCAGTCAATATCAGTGAGTATATGTGTTCCAGACAAGTTTATCAGTCAATATCAGTGAGTATATGTGTTCCAGACAAGTTTATCAGTCAATATCAGTGAGTATATGTGTTCCAGACAAGTTTATCAGTCAGTATCAGTGAGTATATGTGTTCCAGACAAGTTTATCAGTCAATATCAGTGAGTATATGTGTTCCAGACAAGTTTATCAGTCAGTATTGGTTAGTTTATCAGTCAATATCAGTGAGTATATGTGTTCCAGACAAGTTTATCAGTCAGTATCATTGAGTATATGTGTTCCAGACAAGTTTATCAGTCAGTATCATAAGTATATGTGTTCCAGACAAGTTTATCAGTCAGTATCATTGAGTATATGTGTTCCAGACAAGTTTATCAGTCAATATCATGTGTCAGTTTATCATCAGTATTGAGTATATGTGTTCCAGACAAGTTTATCAGTCAATATCAGTGAGTATATGTGTTCCAAGTTTATCAGTCAGTATCAGTGAGTATATGTGTTCCAGACAAGTTTATCAGTCAATATCAGTGAGTATATGTGTTCCAGACAAGTTTATCAGTCAGTATCATAAGTATATGTGTTCCAGACAAGTTTATCAGTCAGTATCAGTGAGTATATGTGTTCCAGACAAGTTTATCAGTCAATATCAGTGAGTATATGTGTTCCAGACAAGTTTATCAGTCAGTATCAGTGAGTATATGTGTTCCAGACAAGTTTATCAGTTATCAGTGAGTATAGACAGTTTATCAGTCAGTATCATGAGTATATGTGTTCCAGACAGTTTATCAGTATCAGTGAGTATATGTGTTCCAGACAACTTTATCAGTCAGTATCAGTGAGTATATGTGTTCCTGACAAGTTTATCAGTCAGTATCATTGAGTATATGTGTTCCAGACAAGTTTATCAGTCAGTATCGGTGAGTATATGTGTTCCAGACAAGTTTATCAGTCAGTATCAGTGAGTATATGTGTTCCAGACAAGTTTATCAGTCAGTATCAGTGAGTATATGTGTTCCAGACAAGTTTATCAGTCAGTATCTTTAGTATATGTGTTCCAGACAAGTTTATCAGTCAGTATTGGTTAGTATATGTGTTCCAGACAAGTTTATCAGTCAGTATCATAAGTATATGTGTTCCAGACAAGTTTATCAGTCAGTATCAGTGAGTATATGTGTTCCAGACAAGTTTATCAGTCAGTATCAGTGAGTATATGTGTTCCTAATGATATTTTCTGTCAGTATCAATGAGTTTAGTTGTTCCCTATCAGCATTGCTGAGTATATATACAAACAGAAAAAGAAACTGTCTGTACTGAAATATTTCAGAAAAAATTATTATCATAATTATTTTCGCAACAATGATTTCAAAAATGATATTTTGAAATATTAAATGATTGTTCAAATAATAAAATCTTAATAAACATCTACTTTTATCATGTTTCAATGGTTACGTATGTTTTTTTAACCAAGGCAGCACATGCTAAGAGAACAGTCATAAGCTCTTGTATTTTTGGTTGCATTCTACACACTGTAGCAAAAACCTTTGTTTTTCTGCAAAGAAGATTGCCAGCAAAATGCCATATATGGGTGAAAATGAATGTTTGTGTGGTATTGGCATGCTAGAGGCTGGAATATCTCAGAAAGATATGGCAAGGCAGTTTGAGGTCACAAATATGATATATGCTTTTGGGAAGCATTTTCAGCAGATGAAAATGAACGACCCACAAAGAGGATGTCCACATGTGACAGTATGTCAGCAAGATAAGTTTATATTGACTTTGCATTTGAATGATCGATTCCATTCCTCTCATTAAACACTAGAAACATTCCAGGACTTCCAGATCAGTTCAAGAACCATACAAAACAGATTGTAAAATGCTAACATCTACCTGTGACATCCTGCTGTTCATCCAATTTTACTTTAACATCACAGAGTTAAGTACTTAGCATGGTGCAGGAATCATGTGTGATTCACCACAAGGGACTTATCTTCACTGCTTTTCACAGATAGTCCAGTTTTCACATTGATCAGCAGCGACATTTGTGTTTTTGGTGTACCAGTAGAATGTTACAGTGACATTTGTGTAATTCACCATGATCAGTTCAGTTGAGGGAGTGTTATGGTCTAGAATGGTATTACAACACATGGAAGAATTCCTTTGGTTAAGGAGGAAAACTTGACAAGTGTGTATGACCGAGACAAACTTGTTCTTCATCATGTTCTGCCATTTATCCATAACTGCCAGCACAACATTTGCTGCAGGACAATGCAAAACCCCATATTGCATGTGTTATTTAAGGCATATCTACAGCAGCAGATCCATGGCCTGCTGTGACATCAGATTTCTCTCCAAAACCAGAAAAACAACTCTCCTGCAACATTGGCTGTATTACATTGTCAGGCATATTGTAGAACATCCCCCCCCCCTAAAACTTCTTTCCTTGACAATAAATTTCAGTCATAAATGATATAGAAATTAAGCAGTCAAGATACAAAGCTTTTGTTCCATTAGTGTATATTTCAAATCAATGTTTTCTGTCGGTATTGGTGAGTATATGTTCCAGACAATTATATCAGTCAGTATCGGCATGTATATGTGATCCAGACAACCTTATCTGGTGAATATGTGATCTAGACAACTTTATCTGTCCAAATTGGTACACTAATTCCACTGTTTAAGGGAGCCAGACAGATGTAAGTCAATATGCTATTTCTAGCATAATACAATACTGACATGATCTGCTATCCAAAATATTGTCATGAAATGTCATATCATTTGTTATTGGCAATCAGTTTAATAAAAAAAAATATTGATATTTGAGGTGATTTCTGGTGCAATATATTTCAGTGAAACATGTTCCTGTAAATAGTACACATTCTGCTTAGTGAATTCAAGATGGCATCTACAATAGTTTACAGTGTAACTATTGTCTGATTGGTATCAGCATTTTGACGGATATACAACTCTCATGATGCTTGCAAACATCAGAATACAAAATTTATTTATTTTGTTACAAATGTCTTATTTACTCTGTTGTAGAAATCCGTTCTTGCTGCCTTGTACAGCTCAGAGGGATCTGTCCTTGAGGTACACAATTAGTATATCAGTTTTATTAACACTTTCTTTGAAATACATCCTATAAAATCATAACACTTATACAATTTTTGTCTTGCCTGTGACAAAACATTGTCAAAGTGAGATTATGATGCTGTATTCTTGTAACAGCAACATCATACTTTTAACTTTTGGTTTAGATCCTTTGATTCTAAATTAACATATGGAATGGGATTTATAAACAGGATGAATGAATTTCTAACAGAACTGCAATATGAATTAAGCTCTGACAATACTTTATAAAGAAAAATATTGAAAATACAGGTTACAAGAAGATTATGTTGTCAAAGTTTATAATTTGTTTTCAGAGGCATCACTTTGCTCAATCTATGTGTATAGTCAACACAGACGGATGCAACATTTTTGAGAACTTGTCTAGCAAGGTTCGTTATGGTGTTTTAAAACCTTTTAATTGATTTGATGTAGAGTTTTTTTCCATTTTGTTTAAAAAACCTTTACTGTTGAACTTAATATCACTGTATTTATCTTTCATTATTGCTGTAAATCACTGTTTGTTATGAATGCAGGTTTGGTGTCTGCATTTTTTTGATGATTAAAAAATTGTTAAAAAACAGGACAATGTTCATTTTGATATCTGATTTATAACTGTACAATATTTCTTTGGAGATGTAGAACTAAAGGCTATTAGTTCTGTTGACAATTGTACTTACCTTTATTCACTTTCTATTCAGGATTATCAGCAAGCTTTAGATTTGATGAGGGACATCATATTAGCCACTGACCTTGCACATCACTTACGAATATTGAAGAACATCGAATCAATGGCCAAAAGTAAGTATCCAGTGATGTGGTGGAGGGGAGATAACTCTATAAACCTTTCGGACTTATTATGTTATGAAATGAGATGTCTATAGGACCTTTTCGAATCATCATATATCTATGTCATTTAAACTCCCATGATATTCTGTAATGGTAAGATGTTTGATATATAAGTTGGTTTAGGTGTTGTAGAAGTTATAACTAGATGATGTATTGGTTTTGTTGAACAGCTGGCTATGATAAGGAGAACATGAAACATCATAAACTGCTGCTATGTCTCCTGATGACTGCTTCTGATCTGTCTGACCAGACCAAGCCATGGGATGCAACCAAACATATAGCTGTAAGTCTAATGTACTGTTAGCTACTCAAAACCTTTAGTGACATCAGTAACTTATATAATCAAGCTGTTGATATCTTTATAGTTTAATAGATTTGAAAAAAAAAATTCTCAAAAAACATTTCATTGATTCCAAACATATTGAGGTAATGCTATGTTAAACACAGATTTACTAAAGCACTATGCTTCTTCTGGAGATTTACATCTGCAGGGGACAAAAGATGGGGGTTAAATTTGATGCAGTTTTTTGTATCCTTTTAACAAACAAGTTAGATAGTTTTCATACTTTTAGTACAAATTTTGAAAATTTTTGAACGGATAAAAATCAGTCAACAAACTAGAACATACGAGGACTTTTGGGATACATTAATACATTATGCAATGTTTTGAAGGAATGGAAATTGTTTAAATGTTACCATATATTTTTATCATACAATGAGTCATGGATAGTGGGGATGGAATCACCTTACCTCTATCTCCAGTTCAGGTGGTGAAGGTCTTATCACTGGACAGAGAAATATCATTTGATAGTAAATCTATTGAACAGCAATAAATATGGATGAGCTTAACTGAGGAACCAAAAGGCAACAAACTGTTACATTTCCATAAAGTTTTCTCAGAGATACAACTAGAAAAGATTTAAACAAGACTACAGAATTCAGAAGATGGTCTTAGCACCACTTTAGCATTTTCATTTTGAAAATAATTTTTTCTGGAGCGAATGAGTATGATACTGTTGTTGTAACCACACTTCACTGTTGCAGGCACTTATCTACAAGGAGTTTTTCTCCCAGGGAGATTTGGAGAAATCCATGGGTCGTGAGCCTATTGAGATGATGGACAGGGAAAGAGCCCGTATACCTGACTTACAAATAGGATTCTTAGATCATATAGCCATGCCAGTTTACAAGTATGCCTTTCAGTTTCCTCCCTTTAAACATTTAGTGCTAGGTCAATTGTTACAGTCTACCCTTTACCCTTTTGTTGTAACTATTAGAATTTAAATATTTTTAAGAGCAACTTACTTAAATTTTGTCCATAACTCAACATTTTACTTGGATTGCTTAATTTTGATGTGATTGAAAAATTTAATTGCAAAATTTCTATGGTGAATTTTTCATTTATCGGAATAAGATAATCTCATTGGCAAATTTCTTTTCATCCAGATATTGAGCAAGGAAACATAGCAACATACAATGAAAATTATAATTTTTTAAAATGCTTCTCACTGACATTAGACCTTGTGCAGTGCTATAGTGGATGTGTAATTTTTAGCTGTTTTGGTGATCAGACAAACTTTGATAAAATTTAAACAAAACAAAAAATTTTAATTTAAACTCAATGCTACTAATAAAAAGATGCTATTTACAGGGTGCTTTCTGAACTCTTTCCTGAGGCAAACTGTGTTAGGATTGCTGTGGATGATAACCGTCGACATTGGGACAAAATCTGTTCTCTCATTAAAATACGTCGTGGTGGCAGCTGTGAACAGATGAGCTATGACCAGATATTGGCATTGGAAGCTGAGGATCACTCACCACAACCCAACCAGTCCAACCACATTCAGTAGGCTCAACAAGTCCAACCACGTTCAGGAGGCTTATCCAGTCCGACCATATTTTGTAGAACATCCAACCACAACTTCTAAACTCCACAATCCAAACACATCTATAAAACATCCAACTGATAACAGAATGATACAAACACATCTAGTAGACATTCAGCCTTAACTGATAATTCAACAATCCAACCACATCTATAAAACATCCAACTGATAACACAGATACTACAACTAACTAGTAGACTCAACAATCCTAACCACAACTAATTAGTAGACTCAACAATCCTAACCACAACTAACTAGTAGACTCAACAATCCCAACCACAAATAACTTGTAGACTCAACAATCTGACTACAGCTAACTGGTAGACTCAACAATCTGACTACAGCTAACTGGTAGACTTAACAATCTGACTACAGCTAACTTGTCGACTCAACTATCCTAACCACAGCTAACTTGTAGACTCAACAATCAAAACCACAACCAATAAGTAGACTCAACAATCTTACTCAAATAACTTATAGACTTAACAATCTGACCACAACTAACTTGTAGACTTAACAATCCTAACCACACTAAGTAGTAGACTCAACAATCCTAACCACAACTAACTAGTAGACTCAACAATCCTAACCACAACTAACTAGTAGACTCAACAATCCTAACCACAAATAACTTATAGACTTAACAATCTGACCACAACTAACTAGTTGACTCAACAATCCTAACCACACTAACTAGTAGACTCAACAATCCTAACCACAACTAACTAGTAGACTCAACAATCCTAACCACAACTATCTAGTAGACTCAACAATCTGACCACAACTAACTTGTAGACTTAACAATCTGACCACAACTAACTAGTAGACTCAACAATCTGACCACAACTAACTTGTAGACTCAACAATCTGACCACAACTAACTTGTAGACTTAACAATCTGACCACAACTAACTAGTAGACTCAACAATCCTAACCACACTAACTAGTAGACTCAACAATCCTAACCACAACTAACACTCAACAACTAACTAGTAGACTCAACAATCTGACCACAACTAACTTGTAGACTTAACAATCTGACCACAACTAACTAGTAGACTCAACAATCTGACCACAACTAACTTGTAGACTCAACAATCTGACCACAACTAACTAGTAGACTCAACAATCCTAACCACAACTAACTAGTAGACTCAACAATCCTAACCACAACTAACTAGTAGACTCAACAATCCTAACCACAACTAACTTGTAGACTTAACAATCTGACCACAACTAACTTGTAGACTTAACAATCTGACCACAACTAACTAGTAGACTCAACAATCCTAACCACACTAACTAGTAGACTCAACAATCTGACCACAACTAACTAGTAGACTTAACAATCTGACCACACTAACTAGTAGACTCAACAATATGACCACAACTAACTTGTAGACTTAACAATCTGACCACAACTAACTAGTAGACTCAACAATCCTAACCACACTAACTTGTAGACTCAACAATAAAAACCTTAACCAATAAGTAGACTCAACAATCTGACTCAAATAACTTATAGACTTAACAATCTGACCACAACTAACTAGTAGACTCAACAATCTGACCACAACTAACTAGTAGACTCAACAATCCTAACCACAACTAACTAGTAGACTCAACAATCCTAACCACAACTAACTAGTAGACTTAACAATCTGACCACAACTAACTTGTAGACTACAATCTGACCACAACTAACTTAGTAGACTAACCAACAATAAAAACCTTAACACAATAAGTAGACTCAAACACATCCTACAATATGACCAAATAACTTGTAGACTTAACAATCTGACCACAACTAACTTGTAGACTTAACAATCCTAACCACACTAACTTAGTAGACTCAACAATAAAAACCTAACCACAACTCAACAAACTACTCAAATAACTTATAGACTTAACAATCTGACCACAACTAACTAGTAGACTCAACAATCTGACCACAACTAACTAGTAAACTGATTAACTTTCCATCTATAAAGATCAAACTGTCCAATAACATTATAATGAGTACTCCTAACATTTACATAAATCTTGTACCTACTGACTCGGACGAATATGTATTTAAATACAGTAAAATAGAGAATGTTGATGCATCAATCATATGAGGTCTGCTGACTACAGGCTTTATTTTGAAGATAGAACATGGTATGCAAGGAGTTATTTACAACTTATTTCCTTCAACACAGGACTCGGGACTGAACTTCCAAATAGGACTAAAGCTTGAGGTCCTTAATATACAGGGCTTACCTTCCAAATAGGAAAAGACATTCCTAGTACAAAGGAACAACCTTCCATTAGGATACAAAGGGATTACCTACCATTTAGGACAGGTGGTATTTCTTCTTAATATTGTTTCTCCTTAAGGTTCAGATTCATTATCAAATAAGGGATTAGGAGATAATGCATCAACACAAAATATATCCTCGGCATTCCATGGAAAGTCCAGTCTAGTGTTAATGCAAGTGACCAGTGATATGATGTTGATATTATCTTCTCGAATATTTGATAGAGACTACCTATTCATTTTGTATCTATTTTCAATCCAAGAAATATATATCTTAGTCCTCCATGATAAGTATGTATTTCTATAGGAATATGAAAGCCAGGAGTCGACAGAATAAGAAGTCTTAATGATAGACTGCTATTGATGTATATGTACTCACTAAACAACCTGCAATGTAATTGCTCAAACATACTCACCAGACATTTATTATTCCTAGCTAAGGAATATTCATCAATTACTGAAATTTTAATTAGTTATGAGAAATCAAAGCAATTGTATTTGTGGAAACCTGTCCATTAAATTCAGACACTTCCTCATCAGTTATTGTAAGGTTTCCAATTTTACTTTGGCATTATCTAAAGGAAAACATTGTGCCAGGTTTGCTAAGCTTTTTAATAATACATTATATGATATTCAAGTAGTTTTTTTTATCTACTTTCGAGTTGGTTAGCTATTTCAATTTTAAGGTTTATGTAATATATACATATATATTGGATTATAGAACTTTCAGTAGATAGTTATAAAGTTATAATTTTCTATGAAATTGATTGAGATTTACATTGTACTGGTATGTAAAAAAAATCATAATTTCTTGTTTATTTCAGGGACTTTAATTTTTTTGGAAATATTATAATGATTTCTTTCATTGAAAAGAAAAAAACCACTGTTCTTTTATTATATCGACTTCTGGTAAAAACTGTTCGAAGGACATCGATAGATATGCTCATCATATGCAATATTTCAGTTTCATATTTCAATAGGGGGAAAATGATCATCCTGATGTCATATGCATTCATTTTGCCATGACTGTTCAGCTTCTCTATAACAAACATTTTTTATGAACAAAACTGTGACAATGTTTTGTTGATGCAGTGGTAATTAAAAACATTACTGAATAGATGTAATGTCTGTTTCTCATTTTACTCTATTTTCTGTACTAATGAAGTTTGAATTTATTTTGTACTTCAGGATTTTTCCATTTGTTACATGTTGTAAAACCTATCAGATATGAGAGGATATTGCTTTCTTACAAGAGAGGGGAGATAACTTGCTGTGGACCACTGTGTAGATTTTATTGGTCAGTGCTGGGTAATTTATATACACATGTTTCCTGATGAAATGCTCACATGATTTTAAAACTTCTTGTACATGAATGACTACAATGCATATGAAAATATTACCTCCCTCAAAGCTGTTTTGTGTTTGAAAAAGTTTGTTTACAGTTGAGACTTTAGACATATTTGAAGTGTTGTTTAGTTTTAATTATGTTATAAATCTGCAAACATAATTTCTGATTGACTTATGTTTAATGTAGCCTTCTTTTTCCATGTATGAAGCTCTTTGTTCATAAGTTCAAATCATTTGAAAATTTAAAATTCTAACTGTGGTGTTGAGTACAAACTCTTGATTCCATACTGAGATGTCTATTCAGTCCATGAGAAAAGACAATAGAAGTAACAAGAAATTAATCCCAATGTGTATTTTTAAAAATATTGATTTGGTTTCTTATCTTGTTTCATGTTCAGCATGTTGATATTTGAGTTTTGATCACTTTTTTTGTGTACCAATCTGTTACTATGCAACATACACCAACATATTCCTTTCGATCTGGACAACTGTTAATATTTTAACTTGTGCTCTAGATTCCTTTTCCTGAAGGGTATATGCTACTTTATAACATTTTATGTTATTTTTTGCTGGAGTTACCTCCCTTAAAACACTCTGAACTCAATTAAAATTGATTATAATATTTGCTGTAATACCAGTCAATGTATTTTCGGATATGTAATGAACAAAATAAATCTTACCATTCATTTGTTACTGTAATGTAGCATACCCTCCTGAGACATATCAATCTAAGGTAGGATGTGTTCACTAATTCAAGTGCTCATACAGATTATATGTCTTACAACATGACTGTTAAGTGTCCCTATGTCGAATCTAATACTGCTCATTTCTTTAGTAAATTGTGTATTCTGATTGTTATTTACAAACTTTGTTTTTGTGTTGGAAATTAAATACTTCATATTTCATTCATTAACAATCCATAGAGTCTGGGTAAAATACTTTCATTGGTTTGCAATAATTCCATACAACACCAGTCCATGTTTATTTTTTTGTGGGAAATAAAAAAAACAATAGCAGCATTTGTAGCAGCATCCAATGCATATTTGGTCATCATTAAAACTTTGATACAGGAATTATTATGTTCATATAGGGATTTACTGATACATCATGCCGGGTCATTACTTGGAATGTTGCATCATAGCTGGGAATATCTTGTGTTAACTGGGAATGTCAGGTCATAACTGGGACTGTCATAACTGGGAATGTCAGGTCATAACTGGGAATGTCATAACTGGGAATGTCAGGTCATAACTGGGAATGTTGGGCCATTACTGGAAATGTTGTGTCATGACTAGGGATTTTAGGTTGTTACTTGGAATGACAGATAGTTATTTGGAATGTCAGGTCATTACTGGGGATATAAGGTCACTACTGGGGATGTTAAGTCATTTCTCAGAATTTCAGGTCATTATTGCCAGTGTAAAGTCATTACTGGGGATTTTAAGTCACTATTGGAAATATTGGGTTATTAAGGGGATGTAAGGTCACTGGGAATGTCAGGTCATAACTGAGGTATTGTATCATATAACTGAGAGTCTTATCTCAATATCAAAAGTAGTATTTCATTGCGAGAGTTGACTTTTGAGACAATGTACATGAAGGTTTATTGATGTAAGTTCTATACAACAAACCAGGTGATTTACCAAGATGTAAAAAATGTGTGATCAAACGTTTGTGAT